CAGTCTCTGCATCTTCCCCCTCTGGCAATGCCTCCAACTTGGATCTCCAAATGGGACTCAACATTTTACCTTCCGAACGTACCTCACCATATCGATGGATGGATGGTGGCCCCACTACTGGTTTAAATTCCAAATTACTAAAAACTGTGTATTAGGTAAAGGTGAGACAAGTAAAATACCTCTCAAACATATGTGATTCTTGGGTTTCATCTGATTATATTTTATTTAATGGCATCCAAATCCTGCCACTCACCTGAACAAACCTGGAGATAATCTTTGACCTTGACCTTTTCCATAACCCTCACATCTCCTGTTGTTCAAGCTTAGTCCTTCAGCCTTCTAACCTTTCAAATAGAGTCTCTTCCTGCTCTAACCCATTCTAAGCACATTAATTCCAAGTACTGGTTGGACCACACCCCTGTTTAAAAAAAAAAAATACTCATTTGTCACCTTTGGAGGTTGCTAGGCACTAACTCATTCTAAAAAAATCAATAAACATTGTCATGTGCTGGTTAGTACATGCCTGTCAAAATATAGCTACTCAACTGCTCTGGAGGCTAAAGCAGGAGGGTTCCCTATTATAGGCCAGACTGGACAACTTAGGGAAACCGTGTTAATATAGTATAAAAAGGGAGAAGCAGGGGGATGGGGTTGTAACTTAGTAGTAGAGTGCTTGCCTAGTGTGTGTGGAGCACTGGGTTCAAGTCTCAGCATCACATATATGTAAATAAAAAATAAAGGTCCATTGACAACTAAAAAAATATTTTTTAAAAAAAGGGATAAACATATGGTGCAATCTAATGTAGTTGCTTGCCTCATGTGTACAAGGCCCTGGGTCCGAGCCCCAGTAACACTGAAAAATAAACTTGATAAATACTTATCCCTCTTTCCCATTCAGCTTTAGAGAAAGTTATCTATAGAAAAATCACAAATAATAAATGCAAGAAGTTTGGTAGAATCAGAAAATCAATATTTGGCAAACCCTAAAATGAAATAATGGACCCAGGCAACAATCATCAATGGTTTCTCAAACTGTAAGGTAAAAGAATGATGGAAAGCCTTAAAGTGGATTACACCACTATAACCTACAGATCAATCTAAAAATCACTGAAAATGGAACAATCAGGCATCTTGTTCCTCTTGAAGTATTGCAAAAATAAGTATACAGCATCGCCTATGAAGTACTCTTGAAGAAAAGTGAACCGGAATCAAATCAAGCTTCTAGATCTAACTAGACATCATGGGGATACCATCAGCCAAATCCTAAATGTAGGATGTTCTACAGGACAAATGATCCAGGTCCTTCTTTAAATACATGGCAAAAGGAAAGAAAACAGAGGTAAATGTTATAGAGTACAAGAGACCTATAACCAAATGTACTATTGGATCCAGACTTAAACAAGCAATAAAAAGATATTTTGAGATAACAAAACTGAATGCAGATTAATTACTGTATGATATTAAAAAAATCTTATTAATTTTAAGTGACAATGATATAGTGGTTTTGCTAAAATCTAAAATACCTTATTTATTAGAGATACATTTTTAAATATTTACAAGTGAAATGATTTTTAAAATTTTCTTCTCAGATACTCACATACATATGTACACACAGAGCTGGCTTCACAGACATGTGATCTGTGCACAAGACCATGCTCAGAAGTGTCCACCTTTAATTTTTTTAACAAGGGCCCTACATTTATACTTTGTAGTTGGTCCCACAAATTAGGTGGCTGGCCATACACACACATGTATATACATACTCCACACATAAATATGAATATATGTGTGCATATATATATGCTAAACATATTTAACATAAATAATGTAAGCATGCATGCATGTTACATATGTTTATGTTAAATAAACACACATATTTAACAAATAATATGCATGTGTAGCAATTAAAAATTAACGAGAAGGCCTGTTTCTAGTTAAGTAACTAGATCAAATGGCTCTTTCAAAACTATCTGCAAATAAGGTCCCTGGCTCTTGCCTCTCTCCTCTGATTAAGAAGATACTTTTTTATTTACTATTTTTTTGAGGCTGAAAAGATATATATTCACAAATAAATAGCTGCTAAGAGCTGCTATATTTTTTCATAAGAATAGAAATATTGCACTAAGGGAAGGTTAAAAGGCTACATTCTCATGGCCACCTTCTTAAATTTTTCTTTTTAAGTATATCCTCATTCATTGAAACCAGACATTATTAGTTAAAAGAAAAAAGAGAAAGAAAAAAAACTTCTATCCACCCATAAAACTTTCAAACCTACAGAAAAGTTGAAATAGTAGTACAACCTACACATTTTATCATATTTGCATCCTCTCTCTCCATCTCTTTCCTTCTCCATATATGCACCAATTCTTACTGACCAGTTGAAAGTCCCAAACATCATGACCCTTTACCCCTAAATATTCCTGCATACATTACCTAAGAATAAATGTTTCTCCTTGACCACAAAACTATTGTCACACCTGAGAAAATTAACAATTACATTGTTACCTACTATGCAGTCTGTACTCAAAAAGTTCTCAATTTGTTCCCAAAATGTCTTTTGTAGCCGTTTGCTGGGATTTTTTTTTTTAATGTACAGAATACAATAAAGATTCAAGCATTGCCTTTTATCATTAGATCTCTCTTGTCTCCATTTAGAATAGTTCCCCTACTTTTTTTTTCATGACATTTGAGTTTTTGAAGACTAAGTCCATTATCTTGTAGAATGACTACATCGACTACATTCAGGATTTAATAATTTCTTCATGACTGAATTCTAGTCAGACCCTTTGGGCAAGAAAGCTAGATGCTATTGTATAATGTTTCTATCATGTCAGGAGGGGCATATGTTAGGTTGTTCCACCTTGTGTGATACTAGATTGAATGATTTGGTTACTGTAGTTACCACAGATCTCTCCATTGTAAAAGGACATTTTCCTCTTTGTAATATATCATCTGTGGGATAACACTTAAACCCTTTTGAATATTCTGTTTCCCAACATCTTTTCACCCAATTGTTTTAGCATCCATTGATGAACTTTGCCTTAATCAAATACTGCACTGGGAGTTGAACACATATTAAGCATTTTTATGAATACTTTTAAAAATAGGTATAAACCTTGATATAAGTATTTTCTCTTACTCTGCTTAGCCAAAATTTGGCTAGTTTTGTTGTTGTTGTTGTTTGTTTGTTTGTTTGTTTCCTGGTACTGGGGATTGAACCCAGAGGTGCTTTATCACTGAGCTACATCATCAACAACCCCCACACACTTTTTTTTAAATTTTGAAACAAGGTGTCACTAAGTTGCTTAGGGCCTCATAAAATTGCTATGGCTAGTTTGATCCTCCTGCCTCAGCCTCCCAAGCCACTGGGATTACTTGATTCACTTTTAAAAGCTGTAAAATTGCATGACAGCTTTAGAATGACACTTGATTGCTCTGAAGACTCAATTAACCCTCAAGGTCTTCCAAGATGCAATTCAAATTATCTTCCAGCATTTTCTACAAAATTAGGACAGTGAACTAGCACACCCAACATTCCTCAAATACATCTTTTCCAGAACTCATGCCATGCCTCTATCCCAGACTGTGCAGGTGAGCTCTCTCCTCTTTCAAATACTTCACATGCTTGGAGGTCTCATTGGCATGTTATTTCTAAGCCCTGAGGTTGGTTGAAAGCTCCCCCCTTCTATTCTTAACTACTGCTCTTCAGCTAGCACAGTTATCTTTTCTTCAAAGCATTTGTTATAACAGACATAATAAATACTTAAGATAAATAGAAAATGTGTAGTGGACTCAACAGTCAGTTTCAGAGAAAGAATTACAATTATCTCTGAAGTCCTCCTTTCCACTCACATTATCTCCCTCCCTTCTGAGATAACCACTATCCAGAATCTAATATTTCTCATTCCCTTCCTTCCCTTTGTTTTATTACATTTCTTGGGAATCCTAAAAAAATATTTAGTATTGCATGATTTATAATAGTATGTAAATGGAGTTTGCTGTGTATATTTTCTGAAATCTATTTTGCTCTCCTAACCTTACATTCCTGAGAGATATATTGTATTGGTATTCATTTCATTGTAATGCATTCATTTTTAATGCACTCCAATATGTGAATTTTTTATAATTTTTTTTCTTTTAATACTAGGGATTGAAGACAGGGCCACTCTACCACTAAGCTACACACCCAGTCACACACCCAGTCCTTTTTTTTTTTTTTTCTTTCTTTTTTTAAGACAGGTCTCCCTAAGTTGCTTAGGGCCTCAATAAGTTGCCCAGGTTGGCCTTGTACTTTTGCTCCTCCTGCCTCAGCCTCCTGAGTCACTGGGATTACAAGTGTGCACCACCACACCCAACTGTAAACATAATTGTCTTCTTCATTCTTCTTTTGATGAGCATTATGGTTGTTTCCAGTTCTTTTGACTCCTTTATAAACAGGGTTTTTATAAACATTCTTGTAAGCATGTATATAGGAATGGAGCTGATTTCTTTGAAGGTAAATATAGCTTCAAATTTATTAGATAATGTCAAATTGATTTCCAAAGTGATGGTATATCATTTGACTTTTTATAGATACCATATTTCCTCAACTGGCTTGTAAGCTATTCAAGGCAAGGAAAGATTTTTTTTTTTTTTTTTTGAGGGAAGGAGCATCTAGAAACATTAATCTTTTAATAACCATATTAATTGGTCCATTCACTAATTGGTATAAAAAGAAAATATTTTCTCTTACAGAATAAAGAGATAAGATAGGAATAAACAAGTGTAAAAATGTTTTTGAAGTTTTTTTTTTTTTTTTTAAAGAAAAATCTGGGTGTGGTGACTCACACCAGTAATCCCAGCAACTTTGGAGGCTAAGGCAAGAAGATCACAAGTTTGAGGCCAGCCTCAGCAACTCTGTGAGACCCTCAGCAAGTTAGTGAGAAATAAAATAAAATACAAAGGGCTGGGGATGTAGCTCAGTGCTAAAGTGCCCCTGGGTTCAATTCCCAGTACCAAAAAAAGAAAAAGAAAACCTGCATTCAAAAGCAGTAAAAAAAATTAAGGAAAGAAAAATTAAAATAAACAGTAAATATCCATCAATATCCCCTAGTAGATTTTAGATAATTAAAAGAAAAACACACACCAGAAGCTGAATATTTTTTCAGAGGGCCCTAATATGTGTTTCTTTTTTTCTCTGAGACATCCTTCCACTTGGCCAAGGTCTTCAGTATTTCAGACGTGTCAGATCGTTTCTGAGGTTCCTTTGAGAGTAATTTCTGTAGAAGACTTTTCTGTAATAATAGTAAGAGTTAATACTAAGAAAAAAAAATTGGAATAAATAGAATTCTGATTAGTGTCAAGCACTTACTTCTTTGCTGTCAAATACATCAGAGAAGATGCCATTTCTTAGATCTTCAAAAATCTGGTGGCAAAACATAAATACATATATACATATACATATATATGTATATATATTTACTTATTAGGAAATCATTTTCTTGGGAGGAAAAATAAACAGGATGCACTAAAGGCTGAGATTACCCTAAATCCAGGATAGTTCCAGATCTTTGGAAAAGTCTCTATAGCCAGGAAGCAAATAGAACTCTCTTCCCCATACCCTATCCCAATCTAGTAACCATCCTTAGCATTCTATGTTTGGAAGCATTAGGTGCATTACATTCACACCTCCCTTCATCCTTGCTGGAACTCTATGTGACAGGTACTTTCAATGTCCCCTTTTACAGAGGAGAAGGCTGTGGCTGCAAGGCAAGTCCCATTCCTGAGCTTGAGACTAGGATATGCAGTTGTCTACTGCTCAATTCAGTGATTCCCTGCTGTCCACACAAGAAAGTCCATATTCTTTCATTGATTTAGTCACAACTTGTCTCTCCAGCCCCAACAACCACAACTCCTTGTTGCTTACATACTCCAGTAAAACTGCACTGCCTGCTGTTCTCAAATACACTGCACATTTCTATCTCCATGCTGGGACTGCCTACTTTCTATTTTGGACTATTAGAAACAACCAACCCTTCTGGGTCCAGCTTACATACCTCCAATGAAATCTTAACTGCTACAGATAGAAAGATCTCCCTCCTAGTTGTTTCCACAGACTTCTCCTAAAACACCTACATTGTTCTCTTGTATTCTCTTTCTTCTTAGGAAATTAACTTCCAGAGAATAGGCTTGCTCATTTTTATAACCCTCATGACACTTAGCACAGTGTCTGCCTTCAAGAAGGCACTGATGAAATTTTGCTGACTGGCTCCAGTTCGAGTCTCATGAGATGTAAACACCTTCCAAAGGTCAAAGGTTTTGGTCTATAACAAAAATGGTTGTCAAAACTTGCAAGAGAAAATACATATTTTACTTACAATCATACACTAATACGTTCGAGACCACCCTCACATGAGGACAATACCTATTTGCAGCAGTGCAGCAAAGATGACAGCCAATCATTTGTGTTGTTTAACTTTTTCTTTGAGATTATTTACCTTGACTGTTTCCGAAATTGTGGGACATATGTAAAGAAGTTCAGCAAGAATTAGCCCCAAAGCAAAGATGTCTACTTCCTTTCCGTATTCTTCTGAAGAAATCTGAAGAGACCAAAAATATATTTGCTTCATTACTCACCTGATATAAATATATCTTCTGATGCCAAAAAAACTATTGACCACAATTTTTATATCACACAACAAAGTCTGTTTATTAACATAGCAGGATTTGTGAGTGTGACTGCCAAGGGTTTAACTTTTTACCATTGAATAGCAGAACAACCTGTATAAATTAACTACTCCCATAGGAATAATCTCAACTGTAAAATGGGGCCAATAAATAATACTGACCTCAGTTTCGAGTGTGGAGTTAAATCAGATATAGCAGGTAAAGCAATTAAAATAGTGCGTAATAAGTGATTTGCATGCAAATATTCATAGCATATTTATTACTTTTTTAATTTTTAAAAAATTTTTTAGTTGTTGATGACCTTTATTTTATTTATTTTTAAATATTTTTTAGTTATACATGGACACAATATCTTTATTTTGTTTATTTATTTTTATGTGGTGCTGAGGGTCGAACCCAGGGTCTCACACGAGAGAGGCAAGCACTCTACCGCTGGGCCAGATTCAGCCCCAACCTTTATTTATTTATATGTGGTGCTGAGAATCGAACCCAGGGCCTCACACATGCCAGGCAAGTGCTCTCTCACTGAGCCACAGCCCAGGCCCACATAGCATATTTATTTATAATATTCTATAATTAGAAATGATATAAATATCCATCAAAGGAGAAACATGTTACAGATACAACAGAATACTACTCAGCAATAAAAAGGAATTAGCTACTGGTACAAATAACAACTAAAGTTTCTCCAATACCTATTACCTTGAATGAAGAAATTAAGTACAAAAAAGTTTGTATTATGTGATTCCACTCATATGAAGTTCAAAAACAGGAAAACCTAAAATACAATCACAGAAATGAAAGCACTGGTTGCCTATGGGCAATAAGGAGGAAGGACTGACTGGACAGGGGCCTGAGGGAATTTTCTTGGGTAGGAAGAATGTCCTACATCTTCATGGGCTTATAGGTTACATAGGAGTATGCATTTGTCAAAACTAATACAGGTACAATTAAGATATGTGCATTTTATGGTAGATAAATTGTTCTCAATGAAATGTACTTAAATTTAAAAATTACCTAAGAAAAATAAAAGCACAATGATGAATGCCTTTTTAATATTCTGAGGGTGACAATGTAGGATGCAGGAGATAGTTAATAAAGCCATTAGCTTCCTATTGTGTTCTAATTTCACAGTGAGTGCTCTCTCCATTCTATATTATCAAGCTATCAGCTAGTTCAGTAGACTTATTCTTTTTTATTATTATTATTTTTAGTTGTTGATGAATGTTTATTTTATTTATATATATTTGTCATGCTGAGAAATCAAACCCAGTTCCTCACACATGCGAGGCAAGTGCTCTACCACTGAGCCACAACCCCAGCCCTCAGTAGACTTATTCTTCAATGACAGAATAGTATGAGTATTTTGAAAGATAAATCAGTAAAAATCATCTTAAAAGAGCATTTAAAAACCAAAATGAACAATAAGATGAAGAATCTAAAAGACAAAAATACATAAGAAGTAATCAACCAAACTAAAAAAGTATTAGTATAAGAAGTCTATATGTGAAATACAATATTCAGGGAGGGATGTGCCTGTAGCTCAGTTGGTAAAGTGCTTGCCTGGCATGTGTGATATACTGGATTTGATCCTCAGCACCACATAAAAATAAATAAATGTATCCATCTACAACTAAAAAAACTTTTTTTTTGAAGATACGATATTCAAATACCAATAGCTGTACAACCATATTAATAAGCAGCATTAATCACAATAGCTTCCAAAAGATGGAAGCAACCCAGGTGCACATTGAAGGGTAGGTACATGGATAAACAAAGTGCAGTGGCCATATAATGGAATATTCTTCAGCCTTAAAAAGAAAGGAAATTTTGGCACATGCTACAATCTGGGTAAGCCTTGAGGACATTAGACATAGTGAAATAAATCATAAAAGGACAAATACTACATGGCTCCATTTATATGTAATATGTAGACAAATCAAATTTGTAGACACAGAAAGTAGAAAGATGGTTGTCAAGGTTTGGAGGGAAGGGGAAAAGAAACTTAACTAAGGGGTACAGAATTTCTGCAAAATGTAGAGTTCTATAGATTTATGGTGGTGATGGTTACATAACAACATGAATGTACTTGAGGCCACCATTAAAAATGGTTCTTGGGGCTGGGGATATAGCTCAGTTGATAGAGTGCTTGCCTCGCATTGCACAAGGGCCTGGGTTCAATTCTTAGCACCACAAAAAAAAAAAAAAAAGGTTCTTGAGATGGTGATTTTTCTGTTATGTGTATTTTACTACAATAAAAAAGAAAGAAATATATTTTTAAGATCAATGCCCTCACTAACAACCAAATTTATATAAGTAATCCCATTTTAATAGCAAAACAAATATGTTTCAGGGAAAGGCTTTAAGAAGTATGAATAACCTTCATTTACAAGTGTTTTCACTTCATTGAATAATATAAAACTGACCTTAAGGTAGAATGTACTAGTGCTCTCAACTGTGTACTGGCTTCCCAGGGAGAGGATTCCACATCCTACCCCCACTGTCCCAAACTGAGCCAAGCAATCTATTCTGGGCAACAAAGTGTGGCATGTATGTGCCACTGATGAACAGAACTTGTAAAAGCCACCACAAGGTTCCACTATTGCTTTCTGTTACAAAGGCAGTGAGACCCAGATTGATTCTACCTTCAGCCTAAAGGAAACAGGGGAGCAAAACTGCCAGCGTTGCTGGCCTAGCACATGAGAGAGAAATAAACTCTAGGTGTTTTGTGTGTCATCAGAAATCCAGGGTCTATTTGTTACTGTAGATAGCCTGGCAAAAGCTAATTGATGGAGGACTTGAACAAGCGCCAAGACGTACCAATCTCCTCGAGACAAAAAGGTCAGTTCTCAACCAAATCTTTCAATGTAATGCAACAGCTATCAAAACCCCCAAAACCAGTCATAGAACACGACGCTCTGCTGCTGGAGCTCACTCGGAATTACAAATCTGAACCACTAAGGATGGTTTAAAACTGAAAAATTATGAGCAGGGAGGTCTTATTGTTCAAATACAAAAGTCTATTTTATAATGCCTCAATAATTAAAACAGAATAATGTTAAAGAGAAAAAAAAAATGGAACAGAGTCCAAAAATAGATTCACAAGTGTGTAGGAATTTTACATATGATGAAACAGCACTTTTTAAATTGTGATAAAGTCTAACATAACATAAAATTTACCTATTTTAACCATTTTTATGTGAACAATGAGTGGCATTAAGCACCTTTACAATGTTGCATAACCATCACCACCATTTATTTATGGAACTTTTCATCCTCCCAAACAGAAATGATAACTACTAAGTAATTACCTTCCTATTCCTCCCTCCTTCCATGACCATGAATTTTCCCTATAGTATTTTAAATCATAAACTATTTCTCCATCTACATGATGATGGAGAAATTGCATGTTCATGTGGGGAAAATCAAGTTAGATTCCTTCCACATACACAAAAATTAATTCAAGTTAAAGCAAATTATTAGCAAAAAGTCAAAATATTTTAAACTCTCGTGATGTAATAAATGGCCTATAAAATAAAAATGACAAATCCAGGAATGATAAAGAAAATACTGATAAATATGATAACTTAAAAACTCTGTACCACAAAAGGCATGATAAACAAAGTAACAAGGAGAAAAGACTTTAATATAGGTTACAGATACAAGATCAATACCCAAAATATGTAGATTCCTTACACATACATTAGAAAAAAGACAACCTAACTGTGAAAAATGGGGAAAAGTATGAATAGAGAATTTACAGGGAAAAAACATAAGTAAATTTATAAAAAGATAGCATAGCTTACTAAAAAATCTAGAAAAAATGCAAACAAAAATAGCAAGGCATCTTCATTCATCACACTGGTCATACTGAAGACTGATAGTACACCAGTTTGATCAAGAGTATGAGAAAACAGCATTCTCATTTTTATTGGAAGATTATTGTTAGACCCCCACTTTTATTCTCTGTTTTCTTTTTTTTTTTTTTTTTTTGGTATCAGAGATTGAACCCAGAAGTCTTCACCACTGAGCTACATCCCAGTCCTTTTTATTTTTTATTTTGAGACAGGGTCTTACTAAGTTGTTGAGGCTGTCTTCAAACTTGCAATTTTCCTGCCTCAGACTGCAGAGTTGCTGGGAGGGTACACCACCACACCTGACTAGACTCTCTTATTTAACAACAACTGGGCAGAATTTATCATGTGTGAAATGCACTTATCATTCTATTCAGTCATTTGACTTTGAGGAATCTACCAGATTATCATAGAAATACAGGTGGCCCTCTATCAATGGCTTCCATAACTGACAATTCAACCAACTGCAGATTAATCTTGAAAAAACTCTGCATCTGTATTGAACATGTAAAGACTTTTTTTCCTATTGTTTAAGCATTATTCCTTGAGCAATGTACAATGTAATAGTTTTGTATGTGGCATTTTCATTGGGTATCATCAGTAATGTAGAAATGATTTAAAATACATGGGAGGATGCATATGTAGTATTTGCTGTATGCAAATACTGTACCATTTCATAGAAGGGCTTAACATCCATGGATTTGGAATCTGTGGGGTAGGAGGAGGTGTCCCAGAACCTAAACCCACAGTTGAGGGGAGTATTTTTCTAATTCCTGATTGTCACATGTCCTGAGCTGCTTTACTCCATCACACCCTTCTGCCCTGATGTTCTATCTCATCTCCAACACAGAGCAATGGAGTCGGCCATCTATACCTGAGATCTCTGAAACCATAAGCAATAAATAAACTTTTCCTCTTCTAAATTTTGTTCGTCAGGTCTTTTTATCATAGCAGGAAAAAAACTGACTGATACAAAGGGAATTTTCAACTCTTATTCTATATACTTCTCTAATGCTTTAATTTTATGAGAAGGGTCTAATATTTTTATAATTTTAAAAAATTAAAGAAGCAACATATATAAGAGCAGAGAGGAAAGGGAACTTACCTGTTCTGGGCTCATATATCGCCACGTTCCCTTTTTTCTTGTTCGCAGTTCATCATTCTTCAGGGTTGTTACAAGTCCAAAGTCTCCAATCTTTATTTGTTTTTCACCTACTAAAAATATATTACTTGGCTATGGGAAAAAAACATACAAATTTTAGTTTATATGTACCAATTTGACAAAGTAATACCACATGTCCAAATTATCTTAGCAAAGGCTACTTCTGTATTTACTTTTATGGCATTTACCCTTATCCAGGTAGTCAAAATCAGAGAATTTAATATCACAGTCTCTACAATGCCAGTTGAAAGAAAGACTTTTTAGCCAACAGCAGAGGTAGCTTGGGGTATAGGCACTTCCAAGTATCTCAACAGCTTTGTCAGTGAAAAGTAGACTCATTCTGAAGGGATCCAGGGATGGATCCTGGTCTACAGGGTAGACATGACCTGAAGGTTTGCTTTAATATATTCTAATACACTGATATACTGATTATGTGGCTCAAAGAGTGAGAGAGTTCCGCATCCCAGGATGGAGTTAGACATCTACCAGAGGAAATATCACAAATATGAGTTCAGGATCAGATGAGGATTGAAGCAAACACCCTTAAGACCCCATCCAATTTTGAGATTCTCTAAATGGATCCATTCCTACTAATGCTCCAGAATGTCCTGTGCAGAACTTCTCCAAGGAGCTTCCTTTATGTCAACTTTTCCAGGGCTCTATCAACTTCTTACAAACACATGCCCTTCATGTTGAAAGAATTCTAAGCTACCTGGGAGCTGACAACTAGCACAAATTATTTTTCCTAAGTAATCCTTTAAGCCAATTAAAAAAAAAAACAAAACAAAGAAGTACAGAATGAAGAGTGACCAGCCCCATTACACAATTTTGTAGAAGGTATTGACCAATATCCCACAGACCATGAAAACAGGAAGGTTGTTGATGTGGAAATTAATATTTTGCTATTCGGGCAAAGGCTAGACTTTAAACACAATGTTGGGCTCTACACACACATACCTTGTGGAGTAACATTTATGACAGAGCCTAGTAAAAGAACTGAGAAGGAAAAGACTAGGGAAGGATACAAGGAGCTTCTGAAAAGCCAGCCTGACAGGCCCTGGGCAGAAATTAGCAATCAGATTAGAATTCAATTAACAGATAAACAATTGCTTAACGGCTTACTTAACTGTATGACTGATCCCAAACCAATACAGTCAATTTCTTCTTTTGAACATGGTCCATCTAATGTTCTAACTTCTGAAATCACTCTTAGATAGCGTTAACGTTAACTATTAGAACCAGGTGGGCTCACACGTCAAAGTATCAGACATCCAGCCCCAGGGAAGACCCAAGCAGTATTCTATGAGGGGCCACTGAATCCTAGCTAGGTCAAGCCAACATCTCTACACATGGGCACTTATTTTCCTCAGAAACTGCTTTGTTCCTTTCCTTTTCCTGGCTGCGTTAGACAGGCAGAGTAAGCAGACAACCAAGATCCACATGGATGAGGGACTTCTGGCACAGTGATCAGGGAAGGCTGAGTAAAGGAGTTGGGACTAAAGGAAATAGGCAGAAGAGTGTCTGTGAGACAAGAACATGAGCAAAGGCTCAGAGGTAGGATTTAGCCTAGATCATTTGTGAGGAAGGGGAAAAGAGTATGGAGGAGAGACTGAAAGGCTGCCTCTTTGTCTTTCATTTTGATGAGAAAGAAACATGGGAACATTGCTTGTTCAGACCATAAAAACCAAAGGAAAACAAAAATATTATGAATGATACATGCTCCAAGTTTTGGATTACTGCAGTTTACCAATCCTGGGCCAAACTTCAAGGCCTAACCAAAAAAAATACTAGACTCTAGACCCAGCAACACTTACCCACTCTCCTCGGGGTAAGGACTAAGGGAATAGGGAACCATGACATTTGAACAAGCCTGAGTAGTAGCAGCCACAATTATTTGTACAGAAATGTTCAGTTTAGGAAAGTTAGTCTTTCAACTGGGGTCTGACTATCAGCCAAATAGGACTGGATGTGAATGAGCAGTCTTATTTGGCTGATAGTCAGACTGTCCCCAGTTCACCAGCCCCGGAGATCTTCTGAGTATCTGCACAGAATGGTAACTGAGGCATGCTCTAGACCCCTTCTAACCTCAAAGGATCAGAGACAGTATTTTGCCATGGCTATTGATCAATCATAATTCTAAAACCAGAGAAGATAAAATTTTCAATTACTAAGTTACAGTCATCAACTTATGAAGTACATTTCCCACTTACTTTGAGGTCTCTATGAATTAAATCTTTTGAGTGTATATAATGCACTCCTTCTGCTATCTGTTCAAATAATTCCAAAGCCAAAGCTTTGTCTGGTACGTTTTGTCTTCTATTTTCAATCCATTCATCCAATGTCCCTTTATCACACAATTCCATTTGGATAAAAAGGCACTTGGTCTTTATTCTGGATATAAAATTCACAGAATGTTAAAAGCAATAAAAATAAATTTTTAAAAATATTTTTAATTATAGCTTCTTATGTACACCCAAACATACCTCAAAACAGAAATCTAAATATAATAAATTTAAATCAAAATATCATAAGCCATTTTCTATTTAAATCACAGGTTTCCAAGTATCTAGATTTTTGTTTTGCTCATTTACAAAATACAAGCCAGCTCATTATTTAAAGCTAAAGACCCTTGATCATTTTTGCTAATAGACAGGAACAAGACCATTAATGGTAGAAAGCCAGATTCCATTATTATATAATTTTGAAACATGTTAATTCACATCAATCAACTGAGCATCTACTTTGTGAAAGGCACAAAACAGGCACCTAGAAATGAGAAAATGAATAGGCACTATCCTTATCATTATAGGAACTGTAGCCTAATAGGAGAGAGGTTGAGGAAAAACAAACCTAACACAACTATATAGGGCAAAAACTCTAGGATAAGTGGCAATAAATTGCTTACTATGAGATAAAAGTTAGAGGACTGATTTATTTTATTTATTTTATTTTTATTCTTTGGTACTGGCCACCGAACCCAGAGGTGCTTAACCACTGAGCCACAACTCCAGCCCTTTTTATTTTTTATTTTGAAACAGGGTCTCACTAAGTTTCTTAGGACCTTGCTGAGTCCTAAGGTGGGGGCAGAGCTATATATTAAACAGTGGAGTTAAGAAAGCTAAATCTGAAATTTTGAAAACAGCTGAGGACATAAAAGAAGGTATTAATTAATTAACTGTAGTAGGGGGGATTGAAATCACAGGCTCTTTACCACTGAGTTACATCCCCAGCCTTTTTTATTTTTTATTTTGAAGCAGGGTCTTGCTCAGTTGCTAAGGCTGGCTTTAAATTTGCAGTCTTCCTGCCTCAGTCTCCTGAGTTACTGGGGTTACAGGAATGCCACACCACACCCAGCTAAAAGAAGGTTTTTATTTTTAAAAAATGTTTTATTATTATTAGAGCTTTATAGTTATACATACTAGTTGGGCTCATGGAAATTGATTTTAGTTCATGATCCTTCCTCTTCCTTCCCCCTTTTCCTTCTCTTCCTCCCTCCCCTCTCCCGTTCTTCTTCTTCTACTCTACCAGACTTAACAGAAGGCTTTTAAAAGCAACTTGGAGCAAGGCTAGGAGGAGCACAACAGCATCTGTCAGAACTGGTTGTGATTATTAATTGTGATGATTGACGGTCTCTTTCCATCCATGAAAGGAAATGACGGTTTCCTTCCACCTTGTTACAGCTATGAGAACTTCTTTTTACCTACATTGCGCTGCTTTCAGGATCCTCATAAAAATCGACTCCTTCCCAACAACTGCAGTAATGAACAATGTTGGGATGTTTAAATGTGGCCAGTGCTTGTACTTCACGCTCTACCTTCCTGTTAAAAGGAACAGGAACACAAATGTGTCAGTATACATCCCTGATAAATACAAAACATTCAAATAGCAGAAAACAACTGTCCACACAGTTAATAAACAGTCATTGTGGTTCCTACATCAAGATTTAGAATGGGATCCAGGAGGAAAAATTGAGTATATAGGGGAAAAAAAAAACAGTATTTCTCACTCTCAACCTAAAAGAAAAAGCAGTGAGTTAAGTGCTTCAATTTAAAAGTCATTTGCAGTTAGTTTTTGAAATGCTAGTGACACAACATGATAATTAAATCATATACCATGTTTTGTTTGGACAAAATCTTGGGATTTCACAAGCAAACCCGATTTGGACAATAAGGGTAGGTAACCCAAGCAACACGCAAAACCTCATTCAGAATTTTCTTTTTCTTTTTTTAAAATTTTTTTTAGTTAGAGTTGGACACGATGTCTTTATTTTATTTATTTATTTTTATGCAGTGCTGAGGATTGAACCCAGCTTCTTGCACATGCTAAGTGAGCCCTCTTCTGCTGAGCCACAACCCCAGCCCCTTATTCAGAATTTTCAAAGTGTGACAAAAACATACCAAAGTGTTAATTTATGCAGAGAAGCAGACACTTCACTACATACTACAGAAGCTTTATATGGGTTTTAGCAAAAGCTCTGACATATCCATGCTAAATAGAGTGAAAAGAATTGAGTTTCCAAAGATGTGGGATACATAAGCATTTTATAATTTTATTTTTAAGAAGTTCTATGTGACATAAAATTTGTAAAACTAAAGAAAAAATTACTGATGCTTCAACAATCTCCCCCAAATCAGTTATTATTTAAGATTATTTCTGATAGTGTCTGTTCACATACATGTTTGTATATTTGTAATTATACTATATAATTTTATCTTTTTTTCATGTGATATGCTATCTTTACAGTTTTCCTTGTAACAAAATTTGTATAAGGCTGGGGTTATGGCTCAGCAGTAGAGTGCTTGCCTAGCACATGTGAGGCCCTGGGTTCGATCCTCAGCACCACATAAAAATAAATAAATAAAGGTATTGTGTTCAACTACAATTAAAAAATAAACAAATACTTTTTAAAAAGCTTGTGTAAGCATCATTTATAAAGTTGCTTTTTTTCCCCTCAGTACTAAGGATTGAACTCAGGGGTGCTTTGCCACTAACTTATATCCTCAGCCCTTTTTACTTTTTATTTTGAAACAGGATCTCACAGAGTTGCCCAGACCGGTCTAAAACTTGTGATCCTCCTGTCTCAGCTTCCTAGTAATTGGAATTACAGGTATGTACAATGGCACCTGGCTTCAAATATAAAGTTTTTGATATAAAATTTTAGAAACACAAAAAAATAGAGCAAAAAGTATAACAAACACCTGCCAAGTCATCACTCAAATGAAACAGTTATCAACTCTTGGCTGATCTCATTTCGTTTGTTCTCTTACCCACTTCCTCCTCCTCCCCTGGAGTATTGTGAAGCTATTTCCAGCATCATATCATTTCATGAGTAAATATTGCAGTCTATGTCCCTCATTTTCAATGGCTGCAAAACAGCCATTGCTTAAGGGAGAAAACAAAACCGATTTAACCATTTCTTTTTTTAAAATATTTTTTATAGTTGTAGATGGACCAGAATGCCTTTATTTTATTTGTTTATTTTTATGTGGTGCTGAGGATCCAACCCAGTGCCTCACATATGCTAGGCAAGCGCTAACCATTTCTTTATTGCTGCATATTTTTGTTTGTTCTAATTTTCCACTGTTAATGGACTGTGACTGATATCTCCTTGCATATAGCCACAATTTGGATAATACTATCAGAAGAAGTTGCAAAAAAGGAAATTGTTGGGTCAAAGCACATAAACATTTTCATGGCTCTAGATTAATATTTCCAAGTATGTTTTGAACATGTTGAAAATTCATAAAGCACTGGAAATACCTAAGTTTTTCAATCCTTATCAACATTATCACAATTTTTAAAAATAGCTATCTAACAGAAGGAAAATACTACTTCATTCCTATGTAGTAATACAGGAAGGGAAAAACCTTGTTTTGATGCTGAATAGGTCTGAGAGAGAAGTAGGTTTGTTTGGGGTGAAAAGCATCTAGGATTCCATGTCTGTTTCTCCTATGCTCATGACATTTTCCTTAGCCCAGAACTTTTTTCCACCTCCTTTCCCTGTCCTTGAGAGATCAGTGTGGCCAAATTACTCAAAGTCACAATAGCCAGAGAACAACTACCAAGACTGGTGAACCGGAGAACATGGGATTTAAGACCTCTTTTGGGGGAGCTCATAACCCACTTGAATCAAATTGTGAAATATGATATATCAAGAACTATGTAATGTTTTGAACAGCCAACAATAAAAAATTAAAAAAAAAAAAAAAAGACCTCTTTTGGATTGTGAGCATACCTCAGTTGATGGATGCTTGCCTACCATGTGCAAAGCCCTGAGTTCAATCCCCAGCACCACAAAAAATAAAATAACAACAACAACAAAATCTCTTTCCCATGTGTTTTCCTTCCTGAACTATTTAGTGAGGGAGGGGGCAGATTATACATATAAACAAACACAGGAAGCAATGGTTCATTCCAGAAGATGAGTTCTAAATCTCTACCTCGTTACACAGGAGATAGTGTCCAATGATTATCCAAATTCCTTCCCTTCCCATACACATACCTGGAATTAAGAGGTAGTCTATTTATGCTCTCTGGAAGCTGAGCTGGTGGTTAGTGACTTATTTAACCAATATATTGTGGTGGAAATGATACTCTGGAACTTTTAAGACTACTTCAAAAGAAGGCTTACCACCTCCTCCTGATTACTTGGACAACTCCTTCTGCAACAATTCTTCTTGAAATCCAGCCTCTCAGTTGTGAGAAACCCAGGTCACTCAAGGAAGCTATGCGAAGGTGCTATGACTGACAGTCCCAGCTGAATATCCAGCCCACAGTTAGCCTCACCTGCTGTCCATCTCAGACGTCCAGCCTGATCAAGCTTTTAAATAACTCCCAACTGAGAATGTTGGAGAATCCGACAGACATTGCCCCACTGAGAACTATCAACACACAGTACCATGACAGGAAACAGTAATTTTTTTTTTTTTTTACTGTTTTGCATTTTGGAGCAGTATACTATGCAATAATAGATAACCAGAATAAGTATCAACAAGCTTTAACCTCAGATAAATTAGTTCACATCTTTGGACTTTAGATTCCTCATCTATAAAGTAAGGAAATGAGACTAGAAAACCTCAAAGATCACCTTAAAACAAATGATTCTATAGCATCAGTTTTCAAGACTGCCTGAAAAGAGTGATCAGTGGATAACCCCCCTTTTAACTAAAATAACCACAGTAAAATGAGATGATTTCAGATTAAGCCAAGCTCTAGGTAGAATAAATATTTAAGGAGGACCAGAAAGAAGTAAATGATATGCTAACAAAAAAAGAGAAACATAAAAAAAAAAAAAAACAGTGCAGGTTCAACAAGCATCTCATTTAAAAAAATAAAACATTTACTACTTACTTGTTATTATACTTGACACGTTTAACAACATAAATATTTCCATCTATTCTGTGTTTTGCTTTGAAAACTTGGCCATATCCACCTTTGCCAATTCGTTCTATATCTTTAAAATCCTTGGCAAACCTTAGAGATAAATACGATTGTTATTCTGAGATTTGGTATTTGCTCCCTTCCCCCACCTCCCTTCACAGTGAAAAGGGCTGAATTGTCAACATGATTCTCCCCTTCTGGTTATTAAAAGTCTAGTCTGCAGACTCTTCATTCACAAAGGGTGGTCCCTTCTGCTCCTCCTCCTTCCATAGAGAATCCAACCCCTCGCCCCTAGGGGTCACGGTCAACTTCTAGCTGTACATAAGCCAAAGAATCCTTCCACAAGTATAAAACTTTAAGGAAGCATTCTGTTGTTGCTCCACAGCTTCTACACTGTTAGAGAAATGAGCAGATACTCTGAACCTGCCTTGATTTATAATAACCTATTTTTCTCCTCTCCCTCAAACCCCACGTACCATCACTGAGCCCTGCCAATTCTTTCTAATCATATTGCTGGAATCTACCCTACCCACTTTTCCACCTCCAGTGTCTTCATCCCAGGCCACGCGTCCATCCAGTGTACCTACTGGACATGCACTTCCTCTTCTGCCCCAGTCCAGTCCATGATCACACAGCAACCAGAATGCTGAAAACTCAATGTGATCATGTTTCCCTCCTGCTAAACCTCCTCTAGTCGATCTTTGCATTTGGCAAAAAACAGAAAGCCCTTAAAGGGCCCAGGGGGTGTCATAGGATCTTCCTCTCACTTCCTTCTCGGGTGTTACCCTATGGCACTCGGCCCTCCTCGCTATGCTCCCAGCACACAGCCTGTCTGCTTTTCAAATGCACATCACCTTTTCCACCTTCACCTTCTCACTCACTCTTCCTTCTACACCATCTCTTTGTGCTAACACATCCTCAGGTCTCCCCACAAATGTGACCTCAGGGAAATCTTGTCTCACCCTTAATACTAAATTCAAGGGTCCTGTTTCCACTTCTCACCATGCTATTTCTTTTGGAGCTTCGACCACATTTAGTAATTACTGATGTTTTTAGGTAAATACATATTTAATGTTGGTCATCCCCTCCAAACTGCATGAGAGGAGAAAATGGTTATATTTGGTCCTATAATAAACCCAATGCCCAGTATAGTGCCAGATATATATCAGGGGCTTAATAAATATGTATAGGTTCTTCGTTGCTGTTTTAAACTTGTATTCAATGCCCTACTTTTGCAAACAGACCTCTTTCATTTCAGATGCTTTTTTTTTTTTTAACCAGAGACACTTAACTGAGCCACATTCCCAGCCTGTTTTTTATATTTTATTTAGAGACAGGGTCTCGTTGAGTTGCTTAGGGCCTTGCTAAGTTGCTGAGCCTGGCTTTGAACTTGTGATTCTCCTGCCTCAGTCTCCCAAGCTGCTAGGATTGCAGACATGGGCCACCATGCCTGGCATTAGATGCTTAATTTAAACCCAAACATATCATCTACAATAGAGGAACAACTTTTTTCAAGTGAAATCTGATATGAAACTAGAGAACAGATAACAGAGCCAAATGGATCTATTCTGATTCCTACAGGCATACTTGTTGTTTAATCACACACAGGCTTACAGGATTTTTGCTTTCAATATCAATAACATCCATGGATATCAGAAAAACTCATGAGCATCACAGAGATCTATATTTACCACATTTCATTTAGATTTATCTAAACCTTACTTCTCCAGGAGACAATGATCCTTTGTAGGTCTGACTGGGCTACAACTATAAAACTGTTTGGGTGGGAGTATAACTTAATCTTATGACCGGCCCTTAAGAAACTTTTGTTGAATGAACAAATATATCTTTAAACAAATTCTATTGAAAAGTTCCCTCTTACCTGTGGTCCACAGTATACTGGTTTTCCTCTACGTTATAAGAGTCAAATTTAGCTGCCAAACTTCTAAAAATTAAGACAAGAATATAAAATTCAAATAAAATTCAAATATAACTTGTTTATAGCAGGTTTTATGTCTTGCACTAGGGTTTGAATAATTTGCATCAACTATTAGAAAAGCAGGGTAGCAAGTGTTAACCTTTTGCTTTATAAAACGATAGACTATGATTCTCTGCCCTCCAATAATTGTTCATCCCTTTCCTGACTCTCTTTTTCACTTTTATTGTTGGCATGCCACTTGCCTCTCCTTTTCTTTCTCCAGACTCAAAACTTCAGGAAGTATATCTCCTGGCACCTTCTCTGGCCATCTTTCCTCACTGGTGATAAGCCTTCTGTGATTGGAAATTCAGTCACCCGAAACTAGGCATATCCCAATTGCTTTCTTCCCCCTGGGCCCTCCAGTCTTCAGCTTCCTTAGCATTAGCAGTGGCATGATTCTCGTCTGCAGCCTGTCCAAAATGGAGCAATGTTCATATGCTTTCTCCTTTCCATCTTCTGCACCCTCCCACCTGGCTACTACATGCTATCTCCTCAAGTCAGGCTGACCCTTCCTTTACAAATTCTCCTGCCTCAATAACTATGGCCACAGGCCCAATGCAGTCTCATTTCTCTCCCTCCATTCACATGAGGAATCATCTTTTTTCAACATGTCTATCTACTGTTGAAAATATTGGTGGGTCATTATGGCTCCATCTGTCCTCTCTCGTTTCTGACTATATTTACCTCTTTGCTATTCTCTTCAGTTAAAGAAAACAATTCACTATAACTTAAATAATATCTGGTCTTTTTTACAACTCAAGCTATTACATTATCTTTACCCTACCTGTCTGTAAACTAATGCACTTCCCTTGAAAACACCTCTCTAAGCCCAATTCTTCACAGCCTCATCCAAAATAATGCCATTAACTAATTAATCTAGCAATCACCATAGGGCTTTACGTCTACAGTACAGCATGTGTATATGTATTTATGCTGTATTATATATATATATATATATATATATATATATATATATATATACACACACATATATATTCAAAGATTTCCCTACATATTAAAAATTATTTATAGATTTCAAGCTTTTACATCTTCTGAAACTCCACTCAAATAAACATGTATAATACTCTATGAATACTGAAGACAATAAATAAGACTGACAAACTAAATCTGAAATAAAACCTTAGTCCAAAATATGTTTGATGTGTAATAATACTCACATTTTTTTCTTCTTTTTATTACTACTGAGACCATTCTACAAAAAAAAAAAGAAAAGAAAAGAAAGAAAGAAAGAGGGAAATACTTTAAGATGTTTCAGTTAGGATAACTTAAGATGATTAAGTCTTAAATCACCTTGGTTGGCTTCCCCCTACGTTTTCCCCCCATGCTAGGGATTGAACCCAGATGTGCTCTACCACTGAGCTACATCCCCGGGTCCTTTATTTTTTAATTTTAAGACAGAGTCTCACTAAGTTAACAAAGTTGACCTTGTACTTAGTGATTCTCCTTCTTCAGCCTAAGTAGCTAGGATTACAGGTGTGCACCACCACACCTGGCTTTCATCTTGTTTCTTTGTCTCCTTGACCACATTTCTAAGTCTATAAGACAAACAGCTTCACACATGTTCACACTCTTGTTAAGCCTTGGACCAAACTTAGTATTGCAAGACTTGAATTTTGTCACTCATTCAGGGATATAAATAGCATCCAATCATTCTTTAGATTTGCGTTTTCCTGAAACCTAGTAAAATATAGCATCTTTTCACATTTGTTGCCCATTTGGGTGTCTCACCTCAAAAATATCTACTCAGACACTCTGTACATATTTCTCCTGAGTTGTTTGGTTTTTGTTATTGATTTGTATTTCCTCATAAAAATGATGCTTTTGTAAAAAATTATCTGATTTTTTTTAAGTTTAGTTCTGAGTTTTTTAAACAGAAGTAGAACTATATCAATGAGCCTTCATATATTGTCCAATTAATGGGAGGAAAAAAAATAAGATCACAAGAATGTTTAAAAACACAAGTTGAGTAGGAAGAATGGGAGTGAAATGTGAAAGAATTTTCCATGTGAGGAGTGAAGGTTAATAAAAAAATAAAATATTTTGAAAAACAATATAAAATAATATATTTTTTAAAAATTTTAGTTGTAGATGGAAACAATACCTTTATTTATCTTTATGTGGTGCTAAGAATTGAACCCAGTGCCTCACCCATGCTAGGTGAGTGCTCTACCACTGAGCCACAACTCAGCCCCAGTAATAAAATAATATTAAAATAATAATAAAAAAAAGAATCAAAAGGCTGCTAAATAGTATTATTTAGCATGAGAACTTCAGACAAAAACATAAAAATTTTGTGGCTTAGTGAAGGTCATTTTTTAAAATATTTATTTTTTAGTTGTAGTTGAACACAATACCTTTATTTTTATTTATTTTTATGTGGTGCTGAGGATCGAACCCAGGGCCTCACATGTGCTAGGCAAGCGCTCTACCGCTGAGCCACAACCCTAGGCGTGAAGGTCATTTTTTTTTCTCTTTCCATATTTTTTTATTGGTGCATTATGCTTGTACATAATGATGGGATTTTTTGTTACACAATCGTATATGCACACAATATAACTACATAATTTTGTCAGATTCACTCCCCAGCATTTTCTCCCACTATTCCCTCCACCCGCACCCCATCTCTTTCTTCTACTGATCTCCCTTTGATTTTCATGAGATCCGCCTCCCCACCTTTCTTTTCCTTTCCCTTTCTATCTCCATGTATGAAAGAAAACATATGAATCCTTCACTTTCAAATGAGGAAACATACAAGAAAAAAATATTAGAGACTAATACTATACCATAGAAGAAGATCCAGAACTGTCTAAATTCTCACTGCTCTGAACGTTTGTCCAGTCATCTGATGAGGAGTCCTTTTCAGAGAGCGGCTCAGACAAACTAAAAGAAAAGAGTAACTATTAGTTTGTGAATTCTTTTTTTTTTTTTTTTTTTTTGGTACCAGAATTGAACTCAGGGGCACTCAACCACTGAGCCACATCCCCAGCCCTATTTTGTATTTTATTTAGAGACAGGGTCACCCTGGGTTGCTTAGCGCCTTGCCATTGCTGAGGCTGGCTTTGAAATCATAATCCCCATGGGCTGGGATTACAGGTGTGGGCCACCCCTGGGGGCTGAATTCTTCTTTTTAAACCAGTCACCTCTTTCCGTAAATTTTCCTTAAACATTAAAAAGTTTTCATAAGGGCTAGGGTTATGTCTCAGTGGTAGAGCGCTCACCTAACATGCATGAGGAACTGGGTTCAATCCCCAGCACCACATAAAAATAAACAAATAAAATAAAGGTATTGTGTTCATCAACAACTAAAATAAATATTTTAAAAATATTTTTCATAAAAAATTGCTCTTTCAAGCAGCAATTTCTTTTTCTTTTTCTTTTCTTTTTTTTTTTTTGGCAGTGCTGGGGATGGAACCCAAGTCCTTGAACTTGTGCTGTGGAAAGCACTTTACCAACTGAGCTACAGCCCCAGCTCTTACACAGCAATTTGAATATGCAAATATCACCGTTTATTTGCCCAAACTTACGATGAGCTCATTGTGCTTCCTGTGCTTCCGCAGTTATTGACATTACCAGGACTGACAAAAGCGGCAGAGGGTACTAGGTCAGTTTTCTGAAAGAAGAAGCAGCATTTAATTTAAATACAACTAAGTTCCTTCTCCCCACTAACTCAGCCTCAGCCTACAACTATTACCCCAGTAACTCAGCCTCAGGGTACAAATATTACCTGCATTCCCCCTGGGTTCACCAAATCCACAGACATAAACTATTATAAGAGAAATATAATTTTGATGCATGTTTGATCTGGATTTAAAAAACAACCCTGAATTGCTCCCAGAACTTTTATCCCTTAGGGCTGCGCATGGCCCCTGTGGTGGGACACAGAACCGAGGATTCAATTACTATGCAACTGGCTATGTTGGCATTCTGTAAATACAATCCAACCTCAACCTCAGAAGAAATTTTAAAACATAAAAAATTAAATCTAATGGCAGTACATACCATTGGGGTTTCTTCTGATAGTTTCTGAAGTGCACATTTAGCAGCCAATTGTTTTGCTTCCTGCTTAGTTGAACCTATACCGATACCATATACTTTCTTCCCAATTTTGCATTGATACTTAAATCTGGAGAAATGATAGAGTATTCATCCAAATATCCAAAAAACAGTAAATTGAACTTACGATTTGAAAAAAAAATCACATAGTAAGATAATACTAATTTATTTGCTAGATTTATATTTCCTATCTTATATAATTAAACCTTCAGTAAGATGGCTGGTCACTTTGTCTGAATAACCAGTACTGGCTGACATCTCCGCTCACATTTTCCAAGCAACTTCTAATTCTTTGTTGCTTCATTGAAAGATCTTACACAAAGGTACCAAGTGATGATTTCTAAAAGTTCCTCAAAGGCCCAAAGATTTAGGAAAGAAAAAGCAGTAAACAAAAGGGGATTTCTACAAGGAGAAGCTCTGAGGTCCCCGTGCTGCAGCCTGTGGGAGGATGAATAGAACATAGATCTTGTGCTAACATCAGCATTTTGTGCTACCTGCTGATATGCACAAAAATGAAAATCCCCCATGGTGCAGATCTTTTTAATACCAAAATCCACACTCCCCTCATATGAGATGCAAAGACATTTGTGATGCCAGGCATGGTGGTGCATGCCTGTAATCACAGCATCTTGGGCTCAGGAGGTTGCAGGAGGAACACAGTTTTGAAGCCCACTTAGTGAGGTTGTAAGCAACCTAGTGAGATCCTGTCTTGAAATAAAAAATAAATAAAAAGGGCTGGTGATGTGGTTAAGTGCCTTTGGATTCAATCCCTGGTACCCAAAAAAAATTGTGAACAATGATACATATTTTTTAATTTTCTTGTTCTTTTTAGATATATATGACAGTAGATTGTATTTTTGTTATAGTTTTTAGTCGTCCATGGACATTTTTATTTATTTATTTATATGTAGTGCTGCAAATCAAACCAAGTGCCTCATACATGCTAGGCAAGCACTCTACCACTGAGCTACAACCCCAGCCCAGTACAGTGTATTTTGACATATTTTACATACATTGAGTATAACTTATTCTAATTAGGATCCCATTCCTGTGGTTGTACATGATGTAGAGTTTCACCAGTCGTGTATTCATATATGAACACAGGAAAGTTATGTCTGACTCATTCTACTGTCTTTCCTATTTTCATCCCCAATTCATTCCCTTCATTCCCCTTTGTATAATCCAATGAACTTCTATTCCACCCCTCACTCCAATATTGTGTGTTAGCAACCATGTATCAGAGAGAACATTTGGCCTTTGGTTTTTTGGGACTGGCTTATTTCACTTAGCATGATAGTTGTCAGTTCCATCCATTTACCAGCAAATGCCATAATTTCATTCTTCTTTATGGCTGAGTAACATTCCATTGTGTATGTAGACAATATTTTCTTTATCCATTCATCTGTTGAACAGCACCCAGGTTGCTTCAATAGCTTAGCTAGAGTGAATTGAGCTGCTGTAAACATTGATGTGGCTGTATCACTGTAGTATGCTGATTTTAAGTCCTTTGGGTGTATATATATATATATATATATATATATATATATACACATACATACAAAGGAGTGAGATAACTGGGTCAAATGGTGGTTCCATTCCAATTTTAAGAACTATTTTTAAAGGCAAAGCAATGAACTCAGCACTACATATCATGGAGTTACTTTATATATTACTATAAAATTACTCCAGTATTTGCATTTTTTTAACTTTTTATTTCAACTGAAGGATGTAGAAGGAAACACACCCAACCAGGATGAGTCATCCCACTACACCCTGAATTAAAGAGCTGGGCTGAGTGATGGAATCATTTCTATAGTTCCCATCTCATCCAGTACCCCCAGATAGACTTCTCTCTTTTGGTACCTGGTGTAGGAGTGCTTAATTGGAAGAAAGTGAAAAGGCAAGCTACACAAAAATAGTCACAATTATTGAGATTGACCCACCTAATTCACTTTTGCCTATTTCATTCCAATAATACTACTGAGTTTTTCTCTTCCTGTTTCTGGTCTGAAATTCTTCAGAGTAAAAAGCAAACAGTGGAGTCACTTCATAGGACAGTATCCTGAGTGACAGTTTGGACTATTTGCCACTTGGGTTCTCTTCTTTTTCGTTTAACTAGTTGGTTGCAGTTGCGATACAATCGCCCTATATACATTTACTTTCTACTCTTTCAGTTCCAATCCATCCTTTATCCCCACTTACACAGGTCTTAGCTCACTGGTGATGTTCTTAGTAACTCTCAGTCTCTAATCCATTTGTTCATTCAGCATATCCCTCAAATCTGTTCCCTTCAAGTCTAAGGCTAAAACCATTCCTTCTGATACATGGTATTTGACCATTTAATCAAATTTTAGGGACAAACACCTAGACAAATAGCTCCCTAATCTGACAATGTTGAAAAGTCATTCTAGACATGTGACAGAGCAATTTTCACATAGCTACTGTCACCATGATTTCAGGGATGGGAAGAACCCCACATCGCTCAAGCAGGAGCACCCTGTACTCTTGAGTTGTATAACAGACTAACCTTCAGATACATCTCAGAAATACAGAAGTCCCCTCTTAGCCATGGAAGATATGTTCCAAAAACTCCAGTAGATGCCTAAAACCACAAACAATACTACACCCTGTGTGTGTGTGTGTGTGTGTGTGTGTGTGTGTGTGTTTGTGTTACCAACCTGGGTAACAAGGTGAGAAAGGGTCTCAAAAAAAAAAAAAAAAAAGATATCCAGTTGCTTACTGAACCTTCCATGCAGAAGTACAAACATTTCTGAAAAGTATATAAGAACAAATATTTCTGAAAATTATACAAGAAAATAAGCCCACTATATGCTGAGACACAATGAAATAAAAGGAAAAACCAAACTACAGCTTACTTTTTGGGATCCTGCTCCCTCAATTCACATTCTTCATAATTTACATTTAGTTTTTCCTTCTGGGAAATCCTATTGACAAGTCCTATATAATTCCCAGTGGATGATCCTTCTGAAGTATCTGTTGTCGCCAAGGATAAAGGACTAACTGCCTGAAAAAAAAAAAAAAAACTTGTCTCATATAAATTATAACAAAGATTTTACCCTTTATTTTACCCTTCAATTACTAAGTGCACAATCTGAAAGACATCTTAGATGGTATTAATGATATCCCCTTGTTAAAGATAGAGGTAACTCTATAGCTCTACCCCCTAAAAAAGGCTTTTTAAATTAAGGAATGAATAGACAAAAATTATGTATATGCATGGTATACAACATGATGTTTTGAAATGTATACTTATCTTGTTTTTGTGGTTGGAGCACTTAAAATCTACTCTCTCAGTAGGTAGGTAATATATGAATTCACCCATTTTCCTTTTATAACGCCATTAAGAAAAAACAAAATCTTGTCAATTTTCTTGTTTAATCAGGCAATGTACTCTAACACTCTCTAGCTCACTTATCTTTTCTAAATCTCAAAAAACAGGGTAACATATTAAAGTAAAGATATATCCTGGATCACACCTTAATGGAAATGATTAAGATGATAGCATCATTCCCACTATTGTTATCTGAACCTTATTCTTTTTTTTTTTAATCCATCTGACAAGGTCAGGTCAAAGTTTTTCTACTTTAATAATCTTATCAAAGGTAGGGTAGTATATTTTATTTTCTAAACTTCTTGACTCAGTTTTCAGCTTATTAATAATTTCAGCTTACTAATAATAATTTCAGCTTATTAATAATAATTTTTGCTTAGTTATTTTCAATTTTGATTAAAAGGATGACATCTTCAAGTAAGAATTTTTTCAAGAAAGCTAAATTTTCCCAATATTTTCAGTATATGAAAATGATCCTCTGTTGTCTCACATGTGAATGAATTCATGTCTCATTTTACAACCATTGCTCCACTGTCTCCTGGTGGACATCACCAAAATTCTTTTCATTTTTACACTTTGTTATTTTTCTTCTTCTGTGTATTTTTAACTTCTGCCTCCTTGCTTGTAGAATTCTTCCTTCCTCCCTAGAATTCAGTACATTTGTCAGGATCACTGTTGTTCTTAGTGGCTTGGTATTTTCCTATGTTTTAGTCAGTTTTTTCGCTGCTGTAACTAAAAGACAGGGCCAGAACAATTGTAGAGAAGGAAAAGTTTATTTAGGGGCTCAGAGTTTCAGAGGTCTCAGTCCATAGACAGCAGGTTCCATTCCTCAGGGCTCAAGGAGAAGCTGAACATCATGGTTGAAGAGTGTGGCAGAGGGAAGCCACAGGGTGATCAGGAAGCAGAGAGAGATGTCTCCACTTGCCAGATATAAATATGTACCCAAAGCCACACCCTCAATTCCCACCTCCTCCAGCCACACCCCACCATTTCAGTTACCACTCAGTTAATTCCTATCAGGGGATTAATTCACTGATTGGGTTAAGACTCTCCCACCCCAAATTTATCTTCTGAACCTTCTTGCATTGTCTCACACGTGAACTTTTGGGGGACACCTTATATCCAAACCATAACATCCTGTATCCAGTGAGTTATTTTAATCGGTAGTCACGTCTTTCTTTCCTGAGAAATGAAAGATTTCATGCTGAAATCTCTTCAGATGGTTTTGTTTGTTTGTTGGGTGTTGGGGATTGAACCCAGAGCCTTGCATATGCTCAGCATGCTCTCTACCCCTGAGCTACCCTTCTGGCCCCAACAGTTTTTTTTTTTTTTTTCTGTTCTATTTACTCTGTTTGCATTTTCAGGGACATCAATTATATTTATGCTGGTTCTCCATTATCTGCCCTCCATGTACATCATTCTCCTTACAAGCACTTCATCTCTTCTTTCCTTTCTATATCCCCCAATTAGTTGGAGGGGACTCTTCCCACAACCTGTCAGTTCATTTCTGCCTGACCACGTCTCAGCTTTACACATTTGCCCAACTTCTGAGTGCTGGATTGCTGCTAGCACTCTAACTGGGCATTATCCAGCTTAGCCCACTCTTTCCCAGATGTATTTCCCAGGGTTTTACAAAGATGAAGACAGGGAAAGACTGAACTAAAATATAAAGAAAATTGTGAATGGTTTTACCATGTATGTAGGTATTTTTTTTCACAGAGAGAAATACTATATATGTGTTAAGTTCCCTTTTACTAGGAGAAAGAAAAGAGCAATTTCCTACCTTGTTTTCTTTATTAAGTATATCAACAGCTATTTGGGCTGCAGCATTTTTTGCTTCCTGCTTTGATCTGCCTCCAGCTTCTGGAAATTTTCTCTCATCTATTATAACTTGAAACGTAAACCTAATTACAAAGAGAATATTCACATACAACTCATGCATGTGTAAGAACAAGTGGTCCAATCACCAGGCTTCCTGTGACTATCTTTAAGGGTTTGAACTTATCTTCTATTTAGAATGTAAGCAGCCACCCCAAACAGTAGAACAGCACACCTTCTTGAAGCTCATAAAAGCTATACCCTCTTTCTTTTTTTTTTTCCCAGAGTCATCTGAGGTCACCAGTTTAGGTCAAGAGGATTCTCATAGAACTCTTTGACAACTTTGCTACAGAACTGAATTATTGACCTCAAAATTACACCAGAGTTGCCAGTGTCCTAATTTACATTTACAAGGATATATCCTTTTCTGGATGTATGCTGTAGGTATCAAACCTAGTATCGAACTCATGCTAAGCACAAGCTCTACCACTAAACTACACCCCCACACAAGCCCTTAGGACTTCTCTTGTTTGATAGCAACTTGCCTTAAATCATGGGGAGGTCCTGTTGTAGCCAGTTCTTGGTACTTAAGAACTACTTGATACTTCTGACGGTACTTATTAAGTTCTTCTATGAAGAATCCTCGTGAGATACTGTTTGCCATTTCTTCTCCCAGTAACCTGCAATGGAAGAGATGTTTCAGTAAGTGACACTCACAGAACATATATTTTTTAAATATTTATTTTTTAGTTGTAGGTAGACACAATATCTTCATTTCATTTTTTTGTGGTGCTGAGAGTAGAACTCAGTGCTTCACGCGTGCTAGGTGAGCACTCTACCACTAAGCCACAACTCCAGCCCTCACAGAACATATTTAATCTGATTTTCCCAGTGCAATTTAGAACAAACTCTCCTCTGTATGACTCACAGGGGTCCCGCAGAAATTCAGAAAACTTTCTTTTGAAATCTTTCTTTCTCTCCTATGGACTATACAATCAAGCTAATCTGTCCAAAAACTCTACTTTCAAAACTCAGCGGGGGGCTGGGGATATAGCTCAGTTGGTAGAGTGTTTGCCTTGCATGCACAAGGCCCTGGGTTCAATCCCTAGCACTGCCAAACAAACAAACAAACAAACAAAACTCAGTTGGCTAAGAAAGAAGAGAGCCCTCCTTCTTCACTCTACTCTGTGCTCCTACTGAGTGTCAAATGCAAATCTGTATAGCTGCTCATGAAGCTAAAAAAGGAACAGGTAAAATTCGAATTTTTGATGTTGAGAGCAAGGTTTAGTGTATATAGAATAAGTAAGCTTACACAATCATGAAAGATTTTGTTGTACAGAAATAGATTCCCCTATGAAATTGCAAAAACTCCTCCTTTGAAATCTGCAGAAATCAATTTTAGGACAATTTACCCAATGGGTAAATTAAGATCCAGGTTTACAGGTCTCAGTAGACCAAAATGATAGCATGATTTAAATTATAAACAAAGTTTAAAAGACATATAATTTATACATAGGAAGCCAAAACTATAAAACTCTTGGAAAAACACATAGATGTGAATCTTCATGATCCTATATTTGACAAGAGAATCTTAAGTTATGACAGCAGAAGTATGAGCAATCAAAGAAAACACAGAAAAATTGGGCTTCATCAAAATGAATAACTTCTGTGTAACAAGGACACAATGAGGCAAATGAAAAGATAATCTTCAGAATAGAATATTTTAAATTTATATATATGGTAACCAGAATTGTTAGGTCGGTGGCCGCGATTTGGTGGCGACTTAGTGACAACTTAGAACAAAGCAGCCCGAACGGGAAAAGAACATCAATCAGATGCCGGCAGAAACTCCTGTCAATCAGCTAGATCTCCTGACTAATGCCTGTCAATCAACAGGACCCCCCTGGCCAATCCTGGAGTTCAGCCAACTCCCCTGACCAACTTCAAGGGGGCAAGGGACCCTAGAAACACCTTTTCCTGTCCCAAGCCCTTCCCTTCCTGCTGTAAGCCCCATAAAAGTCCAGTCCAGTCAAGCGTCCACCAGACCCTTCCCCTGTTCCCTCTGTGGGTCTGATCGAGTTCCGCCCGGGAGAGATATCTCAATAAAGCCTCCCCCGCCTGATCTGACAAGAATATATAAAGAATTCTTGTAATTCAACATTAAAAAATCAACCCAAGGGCTGGGGATATAGCTCAGTTGGTAGAGTGCTTGCTTAGCACGCACAAGGCCCTGGGTTCAATCCCCAGTACCACAAAAATAAATAAACAAACAAACAATAAACAAATCCATAGAAAATAGGAAAAGGATTAGAACAGCTATTTCTCCAAAGGAGATATAAATGGCCATGAAGTACATGAAAAGATGCTCAACATCACAACTACATACTACTTCACATCCACCTCAATACTGATAACAATCAGAGAATGAAAATGTTGGTCAGGATGTGGAAAAATTGAAACCCTCATACATTGTTGAACAGAATGTAAAAGATACAAGTGCTAAGGAACACAGTTTGGTGTTCCCTCAAAAAGTTAAGCTAATAAGGGGAGGTTGACCAATGTGGCCTAATTTTTAGTTAGAAGGGAGAAGTTCTGGAGTTCTATTACACAGTAGGGTGACTATAGGTAATGACAATGTAACTGTATATTTCAAAAAAGCTAGAAAAAAGCAATTTGAATGTTTTCTCCATAAAGAAATGAATAAAGTTCCAGATTGCTATGTTTAACCTGATTTAACACTGGGTGGCGTTGGCAGAGTTCCCGGGGAGTATGCGTGGAGTGCTGTTGGAGTTCAGGCAATAAAGTTCCCTGTTTGTACATACAAGTGTTTTGTGTCGGTGAACTCAACAGAACTCCAAAGTAGCGGGCGCCGGAGGCAAGTAAAGGTCTAATATACAATCGAATCAATCCAGCATCATCTTAATGGCTCGCCTCACAACCAATACTATTAGCAAAATGCTGTAGCTTTCAACATGCTATAGCATGGATGAACTTCAAGAAAGTGCTAAATGAAAAAAGCCAGGGGCTGGGGATGTGGCTCAAGCAGTAGCGCACGCTGCGGACCGGGTTCGATCCTCAGCACCACATACAAACAAAGATGTTGTGTCCGCCGAAAACTGAAAAATAAATATTAAAATTAAAAAAAAAAAAAGAAAAAAGCCAGATGAGAAAGGTCATGTAATATATGATTCTATTTATATGAAACCACCAGAATAAGTATGTACACCTATAGAGACTGCAGGGCAACCCTGCTAAACTCTTACTTCTCACTCTTTTGTGATTCTCCTTCTTCCATGGCTAACACTTCTTAATGTTCATAGGCATTAATGCTGACACAGTCTGAAGACCCTATTCCTGCCAGATGCAGCGGCACATGCTGGTAATCCCAGCAGCTTGGGAAACTGAGACAGGAGGATGACAAGTTCAAGGCCAGCCTCAGCAATTTAGCAAGGTCCTAACCAACTTAGTGAGACCCTATCTCAAAATAAAAAATAGAAAAGGCTAGGGATATGGCTCAGTAGCAGATCCCCTCTGGGTTAAATCCCCAGTACCAAAAACAAAAACAAAAAAAGCAAGCAAACAAACAAAAAAAATCTGTTCTCTTCATTTTTTTTTTTTTTTTTTTTTGCATGTCCATAATTTCAACAATCATTTGTATGTTATTAACTTTAAACTTTATGTATCTCTCATAAACATCTCTGTTTCAGGTCTCTATCCAACAACTCCATTTGAACACCTTAAATGAACTTTAAACTCAAAATATCCAACAAACTGCCTTTATGATCTTCCCTGTCACCAAAAGTATTTCTCCTTCTCAAAGATGTCTACAGCCCCTGTCCTGATTCAAGCTCTCATTACCTAACTTCCTAAGTGACAGCAGATAGTATATCCTCTAGTTTCCATCTTGCAAGGCATTCTTTTTTTTTTAATATTTGGTGGGGGGTACTAGAGATTGAACTCAGGGGCACTCAACCACATCCCCAGCGCTATTTTGTATTTTATTTAGAGGCAGGTTCTTACTGAGTTGCTTAGCGCCTTGCCATTGCTGAGCCTGGCTTTGAACTCTGTATCTTTCTACCTCAGCCTCCAGAGCATCTGGGATTCCATGTGTGCGCCACCGCCCCCGGTTTAGCAAGGCATTCTTTCTTGAGTACTAAAGAAAGCATGAGCGATATAAAGTTTCATGATTCTGGAATTCAACGGAGAATTTATGAATCACCATTCATGTAACATTGAATAATAAGCACATATTCTATACTATGTGCTGGGGTCAGAGCCGTGAATACAATCTGCTCTTGTGAACTTCCTAGTGGAAAAATGACAGACCAACCCTTTTTTTTTTTTTTTTTAAGTCGCAGGTTGGTAAGCACTATATTGAAAACTGGAGGGGGCAGCCCGGGTGGAGTGACGTCTCTCTTATACACAAGCTGTTTCTAGAGGGTCGCCTGGTGAAGCTGGTACTGGAAGAAGGTAAGATAAAGCAAGGACCTGGCCCATGCAAGTATCTTGTGGGAAGAGCTTTTCAGGAAAAAGAAACTGAAACAGCAAGGAAGTCAGTGTAGCTAGAAAGGGGCACCTGAGGGGCCTTGTCTTGGGGCCTTGATAAACAATTACCGGGTTCTGAGGAGACGGGCTGGGCCAGAGCAGGTGAGTGTGGCCTTGTGACTTAGGGAACACTCGCTTGCTGCGGTGTGAGGGGAGTGGGGTAGAGCGGGCTGTTGCGGGGCAATTTGGGAAATCATTGCAACTCTCCAGGCAGGAGCTATTTAGCCAGCGATTATTTCGCCAACCTGTAGGTAATCCAGGACTCCAAACTGCCCAGCTGTCCGTGGGGGTCATTGGGCCAGTCGGTTTTCCACCCGATCCGCTCCACTCCACCCTCGACATCCGCTGCCCTGGGAGAGGTCTCTTACCTTCTCTGATATTCTTAGCGAGAAGGAAACGGCCTCTGGGTCCCGCTGCGTCCCACGATCCTTTCTCCAGATCCGGGTAGGGTCCCCGCACGTAGGCTGCAGGACTCCAGCCGCTCCGGGTCCCGGGCTCGTACCCGCGCCCCGACTGGACCTCGGCCTGCCCGCCGGCGCGCTGCCCCGCGCCGCCGCAGTCAGGCGCAGCCGGCCCGTTTCCCGGCCATCGACTATCGGTTTCTTTTTCCCAGGCGGACTCCGCCTTCAGCGCTGTCAGCCCTCGCACAAGCGCACAGCGGCTGCAGGGGGTCTGACCACTGACCTTGGTCCCGAGCGTGCGCGGAGCGTCGTGGGGCGGGCTTGGCACCAGGGTCTGCTCCTGTGGCGCCCCGCACCCCTCCCGGGCTTCGGGCAGATTCCTGGCCCCAGGTGCTGCAGAGCCCGTGGCGTGCTAGGCGCTCCCTGGGCTCTGGGATGGATGCCCTGTTTACTCTTTATAAAACCAACCTTTGAGATGGGGCCAGGGAGGTGGATAGTAAGGGATCCAATTTACAATGGGAGAAATTGAGTAACTCACTCCGGGTCCTAACTCTGGTAGGTGGCAAAGCCAGGATTTAGTTCAAGCTCAGGCCTGTAGCCATCGAAGTATCCCTCTTCCTTGTCCATACTATAGACTGTGACTTTCTTGAGTCACACTCGCTCCTTGACACTGCTTAAAGGGTGTTGAGGATTTACCTTGTGTCAAACACTGGTGCACATATCTTCACACCAGGACCGCAAGCTAAGTGCCCTTACTACTCCCATTGAACAGTTGAGGAAATGTGTCTGAGGCACAGAGAAGTTAGCCAGTAAGAAGGAGAGCTAGAATTAGAACCAGGAGTCTGCACTCAGTGTCTTAGCTGGGAAGAGACAGGGAGATCCCAAGATAGGTCTCAAATGCACATTAAATACTGTGCTGTCCATCCACTTGCCTCTGTGTTACAGGGTATCAGCAACTGAAATCTGCACTTTTCTTATGGCTTAGGTCTTAGCAAGGTTTAAGCTCCCTAAATGTGAAGTTCTAGTGGGAGGTTTAGAGGGTAGAGGAGAGAGGGCTGGGGTTGTGTATCAGAGGTAGAATGCTACCATGCATAAGGCTCTGGGTTCGATCCTTAGCACCATATAAAAATAAAATAAAGATATTGTTATAACTAAAAATAAATATTTAAAAAAGAAGGTAGATGAGAGAGAGAGAGCCATCTTTCTGTAGCATTTCAAGATGACAAAAAAAGAAGCTCTCAAAAAAAGAGTCTGTTCATCAGCTTGTGTGTGATGGGTGTGACAACAGCACTGGCAGCAGCAGGGACAAGTTTTCTGATATTCTGAGGCCCTGAACTGCCCAAGATAACTTTTTTCTTTCCGTGTTTTTTATTGGTGCATTATAGTTATACATTACAATGGGATTTATTGTTACATATTCATACATGCCCACAATATAACAATATATTTTGGGCAATATCACTCCTCAGCACTTCCCCCAAGGGAACTTTAAGAAATAAAAATCATAATCTCAAGCATGATCACAGGATACAAGCTATTGTGACTTTTCCAGAAGAACCTCCTATTTCGTATAGATCCAGAACTAATGTCGCAAAGATCAGATGCAGAGTCTATTGCTGCAGGTAGCAGAATTACAATATTAATTTAATGTGGAGCCTCATCTAGTCTCTTGAGTGAATATGAAGTGTATGTATTGGGAAAGAATGACGCCCTGGGAATTTGAGTAGATTGAATGAATCCTAGTAGTATGGCCCTCCCACAATGTGTAGTCTCTGCAGGCCTTCCAGCATAGTGATCAGGCTGGCACAGCCTGGTTTGAAGAATCCATGGTAGTCACTTTGTAAGGAGGTGCTGACTCTTCAAATGCACCACCCCTAGCTCTGTCTTCACTCCTAGAACTAGAATCAAACACTACCATGACCCAAAAGGATAAGGAAAAGATCTATTGGAAAAGAGACAGTTTATTCAACAGAATAATTTCACTAATTTTTATTATTTATTATTTAATTTTTATTAGAAAACCAGGAAAAGACAACATGAAGGAAGTCAATGTGCTAGCTCCAGTACTGGAGATGGTTTTAAGAGTTTGCTCAAGTTGGTTTACTGCAACCAGACTTAATGGTAGCCCACATTAAAAGAAATTGTAATGCCAAGTTATTCAAATAAAGAAACCAGAAATACTCAGGAAGTCAAGAATATTAGAGTGGATTAATGCTCAACCTGAGCACTCACTCCCTAACCTTGTCCTCCAAGAAGATTCAAACATCCTTCCTCTGGTAGCTTGTACAGATCCATGGCTAGCCGTTTAGGTGATGTTCAGAGATTTGGAAGGAATGAAATCAGAGGGCTGGTGAAAAGGGGGTCTGGGGAAAATGATGAGGGTGAAACATCTTGGAATTGGACGAAGTATGAGTATGTTGGTTTGTTTTTGTGTGTGTGTGTGTGTGTGTGTGTGTGTGAATGTTCACCAAAGGCACCCTCGGCTAAGCAAGCTTTTGGAAGGAGGTAAGCAAGACTTTTCTGTCTTCCCCCCAGCTACTCCCAGGCTCTTAAAAAAAAAAAACACTATTCTTCTTTATATTTTTAATTGTAGATGGACACAATATCTTTACTTATTTTTATGTGGTGCTGAGGATCCATCCCAGTGCCTCACATGTGCGAAGCAGGCACTCTACCACTAAGCTACAGCCCCAGCCTCTCTGGGGCTCTTAACCAGCAGCAGAAATGTGAGTTTGTCAAGACGGACTTCTCATCAAAGCTACTGTGGCTTCTGAACACCATATGCAAAGACCTACACTGAGCCCTCAGTGTGGATCGCAATACTCCCCACTCCAAGGGAGACCAGCCAACTATTTGGTGGCAGACTGGTTACACCAGGGCCTTCTCATTATGGAGGGGGCAGGGAATTTTTCCTCTTTGGAGTAAAACATTATTCCCCTTATTCTTTGGAGTAAACATTTATTCAGTTTGCTTTTCCTTCCAGCCATGTCTGTGCCAGCACATCTTTGTGGACATTGTTAATGCCTTGTTCACCTTCATAGTATCTCTCACTAAGGAGACCTTTTTTTTAAAAAAAAAAAAAAAAAAAAAAAGCAGTGAGGCTGTATACTGACTACTATGGGATTCAATGGTTTTTTTATGAGCTCTGTTGCCCCAGTGCAGCTAGCCTTATAGGAGAGTGGTATGGAGTGTTGAAGACGCAGTTACAGCTCAAGGTAGGAGACAACCCTTAGCAAGTTGGAGGTATTTTGTCCTTCAGGTGCAATACTCTAAACCTACTTGCTGCTCCTTCCTGGCTAGGATGCATTGCCCCAGGAAACAATAGAAGTAGAAGATTATCTACCACAATTACACCAAATCACAAAGTGAAAAATGAGTGCCTCTGCTTCCATGTCCTTGAGCTCTCATCCACCAGGGGACACATAGTTCCTTGAAGGAGAACTTGAAATGTATTCAGACATTGCAGGTTTCTCATGCCGTCATTCTTCAAGAAAATAAGGGGTGGTGGGATGCTGAACTGGAGGGATGATTGATACCATTTACCAAGGGCATATAGTGTTGCAGCTACACAAGGGGGTCAAGGAAGTGTGCGGAGAGCAATGATTTCAATCATGGTCTTTCTGATTCTTTCGTAGCCATGTTTGCACTCGAACTACCTGTGCAAAGTGCAGGTCAAGAAGGACCAGTTGCTATGTTGATGCCGACCCGATGAGTTTCTGTGCAAAGGCATGCAGCAGTTATCAGGCACCAACTCCCAGGGACAGAGAAGCATAACAAGATGACCCTAATGTCTCATCAGTTCTGTGTCCTTCAATTTGCCTGCTTCGCTGAAACTTTCCCACAAATAACCTTTTGATGATGAAACCTATATAATAAAATGCTGAGCTAGCTCTGGGTCAAACTCCATTAGAGTCTGGCTGCCCACCTGGCCCTTTTCTTCATTTCCCATCACCCCTCGTCAGGTTTCTTCCCTGAATTAACAGCCACAGCTGAGAGAGATGAGAGAGCCACAGTAGAAGTGTATGTCTTCAACTGAGGGCTTCCTCTGGGGTTCCTCATGGTAATTCCATATTTAGTGATAAATGTTAATGGAAACTACCCCTGTCCATCACAGGTGGGACTGCTATGGGTTCAGACCCTTGAGGATTGAAGCTTAATATCACTCTATCAGTAGGGAAGTTCTCTGAGGGCAAAAGGAACATGGAACAGGAAGCTATAAACACCAACTATGGTCTTATGAGCAGAGAATAAAGAATCAGAGAAGCTATGCAAGTTTTCTCCTTTGTTTTTATATATGTTAATGAATTTCTTTTGCTTTTCTGTTTCATTTTATATAATATTTATTGTTGATGGCTAATTTTATAAGATAGTCTTTAATTTAGAATGTCTTAAGATGGATTGTGACTAAAATAGAAGATGAAGGAACAACACAGTAAAGGGTATAAAGATTTAAGGGATGGGGTGGGCATGTTTTCATTCAAAGGAGAAAATGGTTGTATTCATCAGAGAGGCAATTTTGTAATTGATTGAAAGGTTATTGTTAGAAGGGGTGTACTGTACCAGATATTATTAAATTTTTAAGCTTCTATTCTCATCCCCTTCAATGTCTCTTCATCTCCTGAATTATAATGTATGGAAGGTTAAGCAATTATTTCCATATTTCTGTGGAGTTAAAGTTTTGGATATAAGTTGGGATCTGCCAATGATGGATGAACAGCAATGTAAGTTTTGGGAGATGGAAAGGAGAATAAAACTATCCTTCTGTGGCAGGATAAACTGACGAGTAAGCTCTGACACTCAGGGGCTTTTGTAAGAGCTGAACTCCTCATACCCTTGTTAGTGTTCTAAGGGTGTTGGACATCTATGGTGGCAGCAGAGAAACCCGCACTGGCAATGGAAGGGTCCTGTGTTTGGGATCACAGCCACAGTGGAAGGTAAGTCTCCTGGTTTCCATTCTGATCAATTCTTCCAACAACTACGGAAGTGTTAATTTCCTACTTTATCTTTCTGCTTATCATACAGTACTTTCTGCTTCTCACACCAAACACTGAATAATAAACAAAACCTCCCTGAAAACAGATTCTACACTGAGGGAGTACAGTTGAGGAATGAAGATTAAGAATCAGGTCCTTATGTGAGCCCTAGATCAAACCTCACTTGAAACCAGATCCAGTGATAAGATCATTCCATTGTTTTCTTCCCTCAAAAACTAATTTGTATTGTATTTTCTATTTGTTATAGAAAGCATCCTAACTGAGCTGATATTCTGAAACACATTTCTTAGAAAATTTTCTCCATTAATTTATTTAATAAAATGTGTATTGAAAGCCTAGCATGGGCAGTATAATAATGGAAATAAAATGATGGTCCAAAGTAATATTGTGCCCTTAAAAATTTTTTTTATCTGGAAATGGGTTGCTAAAAGAGGGACTGTCCTAGGAAGGGAATAAACTGGTGCTTAGGAGATGGAAAGAGAGGTAGGTAGATACATGGATAGATTAGAAGCATCTTGGATCTTTTTTTAAAATTAATTAATTAATTTATTTTAGGTGTAGATGGACACAACACAATGCCTTTATTTTTATGTGGTCCTGAGGATGGAACCCGGGTCCCACCCGTGCTAGGCGGGCACTCTACTGCTGAGCCACAATCCCAGCCCTTGGATCATTTTTGTTAATTTTCAGAGATGACCTTACTTATATGTAACTCATGACCTATAGGTGATCTCATGGGCTTTTTGGTCACTTTTTTTTTTCCTTTCCTTTTCTGTGTGTGTGTGTGTGTGTGTCTGTGTGTCTGTGTGTGTTTGCTGGGAATTGAACCCAGAGCCTCATGCTTGCTAGGCAAATACATCACTGAGCTTCATTCCCTTTCTACCCCCATTTATCCCTTTTGATGTTCACAGCAACTTTTAAACCAAACTTTATAATGTTAAAGCAACTAACAGGACAAAGATAAAGAATCTCATGCCAAGTATTTTTAACCTTCTTTAACTAGCAGAGGAAACACAATTATTATTGTTCCTGCTATGGGACATTGCAGAGTGGTCAGTATCTATGCCATCTCCCATCTCTGATGGCTCTCTTTCTCAGACGTCGTTATTTTATTTATTTTTAACCTCACTTCTAAACTCTTCTTATCAAGAGTCCACTGATGCCCAGGATGGTCAAGTTCCCATTCTCCAAGTCTTCGTGAATGGGATTAGTGCCCTTATAAAAGAGTCCCCAGAGGGCTGTCTTGTCCCTTTTGTCATGTGAAGACACAGTGAAAAGACACCAGCTAGGAACCAGGAAACCATGAAACAGGCCCTGGCCAGACACTGGGTCTGCAGACACCTCCATCCTGGGCTTCCCAGGTTGTTCATATGCCACAGTCTATGGCATTTTGTTAGAGCAGCCTGAATGGACTGAGAAAGTCCTCATCAGATAACCTGAATGCTATGTAGTGAGTGGACCTTATGCAAGACCCAACCTCTCAGATTCTCCTTCATTCATCAGTTTGTTCCTTTCATGAGAATTTGCCCAGTGATCCCCCTGGACCAGGCATCTGCTACCTAAGGGTAAGTTGGAAAAAAAAAATTTTGCCCTCAAGGTGCTTGTTGTCTTTATCTTCATCATGGGGGCACAATGCAAAATGCTCAACAAACTTCCTTCCAGACATGACTCGAACCTCACATTAGTTCATTTCACCACTTCTACATATGCACCAGGAAAGTGGAATCTCATTTTGAGAGTAGAGGTAAAATACACCAAAGTCACATCATTTTTAAAATCACCTTAAAATTTTTGTCTTTTTCTCTGTTTCTTTAATTTTATTGTGATTTAAACTGCAAATTGGCATAAACACTATGGAAAGCAGTATGGAGATTCCTCAGAAAATTTGGAATGGAACCACCATTTTGACCTACCTATCTCACTCCTGGGTTTACACCCAAAGAACTTAAAATCAGCATATTACAGTGATGCAGCCACATCAATGTTTATAGCAGCTCAATTCACAATAGCTAATCTATGGAACCAGCGTAGGTGCCCTTCAACAGATGAATGGATAAAGAAAATGTGGTATATATACACAAATGTGTATATGAAAATGTGGTACATATTACTCAGCCTTAAAGAAGAATGAAATCATGGCATTTGCAGGTAAATGGATGGAACTAGAGGATATCATGTTAAGTGAAAATAAGTCAATCCCAAAAAACCAAAGGCCAAATGTTTTTTGTTTTTTTTCTGATAAGCAGATGCTGATCCATAGTGGGGGCGGGAGGAGGGGGAAAAAATGAAGGAACTCTGGGTTGTGCAGAGGGCAGTAAGAGAAGAGAGAGTGTGGGGATGGGAAGGACGGTAGAATGAGACAGATAATTTTTACCCTATATACATGTATGATCATACTACCAGTGTGACTCAGCACCATGTACAGCCAGAGGAAGGAGAAGTTGTGCTCCATTTGTGTGCAATGTGTCAAAATGCATTCTACTGTTATGTAGAACTAATTAGAACAAATTTTAAAAATTATAGAGCATTTCAAACACACAGAAAGCCTAGAGGATAATATGAATACTTGCAGGTCCACCCGCAGCCTTATCACCCGTCGATATCACATTATCAGTGCCTCTCAGTAACATTTGATTTGTGGGTCACTCTCCCTTCTCAGATCATTTTCCTCACTTGGCTTCCAGGACATCAGTTCCTTACTGGCTGCCCATTCTCAGTGCCCTTTTCCTGGTTTCTCCCTTCCTGCCTGCCCTTTCAATGGCTGGAGGGCTCCAGGGCTCAGCCCTTGAATTCCTTCTTTAGATATACCTACTTCTTTAGTTACCCAGTCAAGGTTTTGGATTTAAATACTAACTACATCCTGATAATTTACAGTTCTGTATCTTCAGAGAGGAGTATTCCACCGAGTTTCAGTTTCATAAATTTGGTTTTCAACATTCTACCTGGAAGGCTGACAGGTATGCCAGCTTCGTACATTCTCCCTCTGCCCAAGCCTGTTTCAACATGTCTCCATCTCTGCAAATGACAGTCCCATCCACCCTGTTACTCTAGAACCCTGTCGTCCTCCTTGTCTCTTTTTCATGGCCTAAATTCAATATGTCATTAAATCCTGTTGGCTCTGTCACATATGTCTAGACTCTGACTAAGCTGTTGAGGCTGGCCTTGAACTTGAGATCCTCTTGTCTTAGCCTTCCAAGTTCCTAGGATTACAGGCATGCACATCTGTGCCCTGCTTAATCTGTTTCCTCTATATCATCACCAATTGCCTTAGCACCAAATGTGAAAGAGTTTAATTTCTTCCTCTGATGTGCAATGCCTCCTCTGTCATATGTCATGTTTCCTGACATGCACGGGTTTGTTTGGTGGCTTTATTTCATTTCACTCTTTGTCCACTCCTGCGCCAATCATCTGGGCTTGGACATTAACACTCAAGGGTCTTTATTACTACAAATCCCTCAGGTCATCTCTGATTCTTACTTGCTCTGGTTCTCTGCTCCTTCTTTGCTCTGGGTCCTGATGATGTATCTACTGGGAGATAAGCTATGTACATAAAGAGTTTTAAAGAACTTTTATCCAACATTTTTTGGAAATTTTTTAAAGGGGGAAATTTTCAGTTTACTTAATTTGCCATACTTTTAGAAATTGTAATCCTCAAAACAATTTTACTTAACATTTCTATGAATCATTCTATTCTTAACTGCACATAATTTAATTTTATAGTAGAAGTAGTTGCAGTGTAAACAGTAAAGATTATTAAGAGGTTGGGAGGTATCAAACAGCAGATCCATTTTAGAATATTCTCTATTTCTTAATTCCATGGGCTTTGTGGCAAGAAGTCCTTTATGATAGAATAATACAATCTCTCACCTTTAATTTGAATTAAAAATTGTATTCAGGGGCTGGGGTTGTGACTCAGTGGTAGTGTGCTTGCCTAGCATGTTTGAGGCACTGGGTTTGATTATCAGCACCACATAAAATAAGTAGATAAATAAAATAAAGATATTGTGTCTATTACCACCAAAAATATTTTTTAAATGAATTCAATAGGGCTGGGGTTGTGGCTCAGTGGCAAAGCGTTTGCCTCACACATGTATGGCACTGGATTCAGTCCTCAGCACCACATAAAAATAAATAAACAAAATAAAGATATTGTGTCCACATATAAATTATAAATTCAATTATAAATTTAAAAAATTAAAAATTTTTAATGTATTCAATAGAAAAATAAAGTTTCTTGACAGCTTCCATATGGCCTTCTGCAGTGATATACACAGAGCAGTTGAGCAGTGCATTTTTCTTGAATCAAACATAATATCATTTATTCAACTAATGTCAATACAGAGTCAGAATTAAATTTTCCCCAACAGTAAGTTGAAGAGTTACCAGTGCTTTGATCCATAGTGGGAAAAAGTAAGAGTAATTACAAGGAAAGTACAAAAAATGGTGCATCACATGAAGAGCTCTTCATCTATGCTCAAACACAGATCTAGGCATGTTTCTGATAGTATCTACTAATGCCCTTTTGTGAATTCAGAGCACAAGGGAAGTTAAAATCCCAATGTAGCCTGGTGCAGTGGCACACACCTGTAATCACAGCAGCTCGGGAGGCTCATACAGGAGGATCACAAGTTCAAAGTCAGTCTCAGCAAAAGCAAGGCGCTAAGCAATTCAGTGAGACCCCATCTCCTGGGGATGTAGCTCAGTGGGAGAGTACCCCTGAGTTCAATCCCCGTATACCCCCTCCCCGCAAAAGAAACCAGTATAACACATTAATAGTAGTGTCCTTTGGGGACAGATAAGTGGACCTTTTCTTCAAAAGGTGAACAAACTTAAATTTGCGCTCAAAGACTTCAGATATTATCATTATTATTGAATTTATATTATTCGGATTTAAATGTTATCATTATTTGAATTTTTCATAATTATCTAAATTCAATTATGATTAAGGAAAAGAAAACATTCAGGCCTGCTGACTTGGCCAGAATCAAGCCTGGCAATATGATTCATACTTCAGCTTTACTCCCAAGGGAGTGCCTGTTAAGAGCTCTTGGAATTTTTCATCCATTTCTTGGTTCTGAGTTTCACTGAACAAGTTTTTCCAATCACCAACTTCACCTACAACACAAAAAACGTGGCAGACCCAGACATCTGTTAGAATATTTTTTTCATGGTTTTAAGGTATGCCCTACCTGATTTTATTATTTTTGTGCATGCAGTATTTCAGCTTTGAAATGTGAAAATGAACACATGAAAAAAATTAGCATTAAAAACTAATATAATTTTCCTTGTAAAATGAACACTATCCACTGGGGCTCCTGCAAGGTGGTGTGACATCAGTGGGGGAGAAAAGATTCATCATCGATGATGTCCTACCACCACTCCTCTCACAATGTCTGGGATCTAAAATTCCACTTTGTGAGGTTAATTTTTTTTCCTCTCTAAAGTCTTTTAAATACTTTAAATACCCTTTGAAAAGTAGCAATTTTTATCAGGTTTTGGTTAAGATACTGAAAATTTTGCAAAAATTTAATAATTCTACCTACCATGAGGGTATGTTATTTCTATCTTTAGGATCTTTTGATGGTTTGTGTTGAAATTGTAAGTTCTATGTTGCATAGCCTTTGAAATATACGTTGATATAGAGGGTTTCATGACACAAGGAAAGGCTTATCATATATTAAGGAAATGAAATAAAACACAAAACTGTTTACAAATGTCAACTATATAAAACATGAACAGAAAAAGACTGGGAGAAAATGTGCCTTTGTTGGGAAACATTTAAACTTTTGACAACTTTTGTAAATGGTTTTGTGTTATGTTTTAATGCTTTTCCACATTTTTTCTGTGCTGTGAATTTTCTACAAAAAAAAATCAGAAATATTTAAAACTTTTACTTTGTTGACTTCAGAATTTTTCTATCCTGAATAGTATTTGATTAACAATATATAGAAAGGTTCAATTTTTCCCCTCCTTAAAGCTAATAAAATAAGGCATAAAAATTAGGAGTAGTTAGGAATCAGACCAAAGCCAGGTTTGTGTTTAACGTTCCTTTCATACTGGATTTTTAAAATGGGTCTTCAACTGAAAATGTATAGTAGAGTAATGCAAATGAGGCTCTATTCCTGACTCCATTGTTTATTAGCTATGTAACAAAGGAAAAGTAATAGCTTTGACTCCTTTCCTACATTTGTAAAATGAGGATTTTGGGGGGCTGGGGTTATAGGTCAGCAGTAGAGCATTTGCCTAGCATATATATGATGCATTGGGTTTGATCCTCAGTACCACATAAAAGAAAAGAAACAAAATAAAGGTGTTGTGTCCATCTAAAACTAAAAATAAATAAATAAATTAGGGATTTCGTATCCTTTTTATTATGAAATTTGATCCCAACAATATGTTTAATAGACTATCAAATGCCCAATGTTGGCAGGTGTCCTTGCTGTTACATGTGCTGCCTTTAAGTTTTGTTATAACATATTTTCATTGCATTATATGCAAAAAAAAGAAAAAAGAAAGACCGGCACAAGAATTTAGAGTACTTTGATGAAACTCAATAAATCATCTGTGTCAGGGACACCTAGTTGTCTCTCCAACACTCATTTTCTTCTCTTACATTTAAACAGAATCCTGATTCTAATTGGGTAACAATGTGCCCAGGTTTTGTTGTTATTGTTGTTGTTGTTTAAATCACATTTTCTAACTATTGCTACAGAGAGAGAGGTGATCAATGAAATGTAAGCAGTCCCTGAATGGCGCCTCCAGAAAGCTCTTTTTAAAGGGGGTTCATTCAGATAATGCGCATGATTCTTTCCCTTGATGTTTCCTTCAACCTGCCTGGACTTTTTTTTTTCTTAATTGATTTTATTTTTTAAATAAATGACAGCAGAATGCATTGCAATTCTTATTACACACAGTAGAGCCCAATTTTTCATATCTCTGTATATAAAGTATGTTCACACCAATTCATGTCTTCATTCACATACTTTGGATCATGATGTCCATCACATTCCACCATCATTGCCAACTCCCTGCCCCCTCTCTTCTCCTCACACTCCTCTGCCTAGAGTTCGTCTAGAGTTCGTCTATTCCTCCCATGCTCCCCCTCCCTACCCCACTATAAGTCAGCCTCCTTATATCAGAGTAAACATTGGCATTTGTCTTTTTGGGATTGGCTAACTTCACTTAGCATTATCTTCTCCAACTCCATCCATTTACCTGCAAATGCCATGATTTTATTCTCTTTTATTGATGAGTAATATTCCATTGTGTATATATGCCACATTTTTTTTTTATCCACTCCTCTACTGAAGGGCAATTAGGTTGGTTCCACAGTTTAGCTATTGTGAATTGTACTGCTATAAACTTTGATGTGGCTGTGTCCCTGTAGTATGCTGTTTTTAAGTCCTTTGTGTATAGACCGAGGAAAGGGATAGCTGGGTCAAATGGTGGTTCCATTCCCAGTTTTCCAAGGAATCTCCATACTACTTTCCATATTGGCTGCACCAATTTGCTGCCTGGATTTTGAATGCAATGGTGGAGTACAGCTGCTCTCTGTGTCATCACAGGTGACAAGCAGAAAGACAGAAGGCACTCGGTACAATAAAAGGTTATGTGGAGCTGCCAGTTAAACAGTTCTGCACTGCCTATTCCAGACTTCTTATCGTGGAAGAGGAAAATGCAATTGTCTTACTGAAAATGAAGTTATTGAGATTGCCTGTTATGTGCAAAGTTATTCCCCAAGTGACATGATACCCCAGAAATGAAAGCAAGTTTACCTTTGCGGAACAGGAATGGGCCAACAGCACCATGCGTCTCCTGAGGTTTTTCTCTCATCGCTTGGAAGGTACTCTGGGCTGAGATGGTTTGAATCTGTTCCCCAGTTACAGAGAATCCTAAGAACTCAGCAATTTGTTTTATTCCAGCAGTCAGATTCTGAAAATACAAAATTTAAAGGATAAATATTTTTCCATGGAAATTAAACTGGTGCAAAGAGAAACTCAGAGGGGATTAAGTTTATTAATCAGAGTGGATTAAGATTATAAAGTCTAACTCCCTAGTTAATTTGCTTCTCTCTTAGATTTCTTTGATACTTTTATGTAAGTATTCAAGATATCATTATAATATATTCTATATTGATTGTACTTTGTAGTTTCAATTTATGACACTCACTGAACTAGATTGTACTATTTAGAATATAAATAATGATAGTAGCATTAATTAGGTAGATTAGAATTTCATGTAGGATGATATCCATTGTATTAAAAAGCATCAGCTTAGACCACCCAAGGAAACAAATGTATTTATATGAGTTTAATTCAAATCTTTCTTCAGAATCCTATTTGTAGCTAATGTTTAATTCCACCAAATAAGTCTAATTTTAAAAGTCATAAAAGCTTGGAGTTGGGTAAAGTGGTGCATGCCTATAATCCCAGTGACTTAGGGAGCTAAGGCAGGAGGATGGCAAATTTGAGACCAGCCTCAGTAACTTAGCAAGATCCTGTCTCCAAAAATAAAAAGGGTGCTTGGGGCTGGGGCTCAGTGGTAAATAAAGGTATTGTGTCCACCTACAACAACAACAAAAAATACATTATAAAATTTAAAAAAATAAAAAGGGCTGTGGATGTAGTTAAGTGATATCGGAGCCTCCAAGTTTAATCCCCTGTACTAGGGGGAAAAAAAAGGAAAAACCTTGAAAGCATCTTGAAATTTATCTTGTCTAATTAACCATGTAAATCATGATCCACCCAACACTGTGTCTGGCTGACGTAAATTCATAAATATTCTAAAACAGGTTTTAAAACTGTATTCTCCAAAACGCTAATGTACCGTCAGACAGCTGTAGACGTTTCATGGAGGGAAAAAAGAAGGGTGATGGGGGTCAAATTTGTTTAAAATCCTTGAGATAAATGAAGGCAAGATCATTTTTCTTTAGACTCTCTCAGAGCCTTTAATGTACCGATCAATCTACAGTGTGGCTCTCCAGAGGAGCTGGCTATGTAATATAGCACTTCCTAAATCTGTTTGTACAAACAACCTCCTCCCAATTTCCAAAAAAGAAATACTAACATTCTGGGGCAACACTGCTAGTCTATGAAGCACAAGTTCCAGAAGCATTGTTTTAAACTAGAGGAGAAAAGACTAACTTAAAATGTCTTCCATGTAATATAAATGCATCCTATAAACAGAAAAGGTGGATTAAATTGCATGTGCTTTTGATAAGAATATCTCAGGAAAATAGTGTGAACTCAAATTAGGGAGCATTTAACACACTCCCTTCCCTTTGACACACTTTCTTCCTTGAGGATCCAGGACTCTGGTTTCCCTCCTCCCTCACTAACTGCTTCTCTACTGATTCCTCCTCTTCTCAAATTCTTTATATCAGCCATCTCCAGGACTCAGTTCTCGGTCATCTTCTCTTTTCTCTCTCTACACCTAGGTATAAAATCTCTGCCTTAAATGCCATCTGTGTGTCAGTGATGCCCAAATTTTATCTACACCTCACAACTCTCTGTATTCAAGACTTTTATGCTCAACTGCCTACTTGACCTTTTCATTAGGCTAATAACCATCTTACTTAAACTTATCATGCCCCAAACAAAACCTCTGATTTTCCCCACAGCCCTGCTTCACCTAATGCCATCTCCGACTCACATGATGGCATTGGAGTCTTATTTGACTCCTCTTTCTCTCCACATCTTCTCTTCCATCTAATCCACCAGAAAATCCTATTGACTCTTCCTTCAACATTTATCCAGCATTTAACCACTTCTCCTACCTGCACTGCCCCTTTCTGGCCTAAGTTTCCATCTTCCCTGGAAGATGCCTGGATTAGGGCAGTAGCCTCTTCACAGGTCTCTCTGCACTATCTTTGCTCCAGTCTATACTCACATACCAGCCAAAATGATCCTGTTAAAAACACACCATTGGCTTCCCGTTCCATTCAGAGTGAAAGCAGGAGTCATTTCAATGTCCTGCTATCCTAATGATTTCACTCCTCCCTCATGGTGACTCTCTCAATTCTCTTCTACTGGCCTAGGCCTGGCTGCCTTCTTGCTGTACCTTAATCACATGTGAAGAAATCAGGGACTCTGCTCTGGTTGATTTCCTCAGCCTGCAAAGCTCTTCCTCCAGTTACCTATTTGGCCCACTCCCTCACCTCCTTCTCAGCTTTGTTCAGATCACATCCCCCCATAGGAACCCAACTGACCACCTTATTTTATACGGGGAGTTGTGCAGCATTCTAATCCCCCACCCGCTGGCACTTCTAATCTTTCTTAACCAGTTATGTGTGTTCTTTTTCCTCACATACTGCGTATATTTTCAAATTCATTATATTTATTGTTTATTATTCTGTCTTCCGTCCTTCTCCTGGTAAGTAAGCTCCTCCAAAGCACTGAACTTTGTCTAGCCTGAGATTGATGTATCACTCAGACCAAAACAATGTTGAGTAAAAATAACAATAACAATGTTTTTTAAAAATAACAGTAACTGGTGCATGCCTGTAATCCCAGCTACCCAAAAGGCAGGAGGATGGCAAGTTTGAGGCCAACTTGGGCAATTTAATGAGACTCTGTCTTAAAATAAGATTTTTAAAAAATATATATTTATTTTTTAGTTGTAGTTTGACTCAATATCTTTATTTATTTATTTTTATGTGGTGCTGAGGATTGAACCCAGGGCCTCGCAAGTGGCTCAGTGAGTGCTCTACCACTGAGCCACAACCCTAGCCCTTAAAATAAGATTTTAAAAGGGATGGGGATGTTACTCAGTGGTAGAGTGCTCTCAAGTTCAATCCCCAGTATTGCAAAAATAAATAGACAAACAAAGAAATAAAAATAACATAAGCTGGAAAAAATCAATTTACAATCAAATGCATATTCAATTAGATCAACTGACACTAACCTAATTTTTTTCCATTACTAATTTGGACTATCCATTATGAAAAAAGAATAAATCAGTTACTCTTAAGTTGTTAAGTGTTGTTTTATTTGTGTTAAGTAACAACTTAAGCATTTATGTATGGTTAGATTGTTTTCTAGTAGTGTGTTGCATATTTTGAATATTTTAAAATTGAATATCATATTTGACCATACAACCAGACCTGGTAAATATGTGCCGCACATTGTAACTTATAATAAGTCTTGCTCCAGAATATCAATGTGCATAGTCTTACCTCTTTCAGGTCTTCATATAGTATGAACTTAACATTTTCATTGTCCAGGTGTTTGTTCCAATTGATTGCAAAATCAAAATAGCTTCCCCAAGAAACTAAAAACACAGGGAAAAAGACTTCATATATAGGGAATTTTACAAAACTGAGGTAAAAATGATAATTTATGCCCTAAAAATTGTTAATAAAGCAGACATATTATTTCTATATTCTGGTCTTCAAAAGCTGGTGGGTATTTTACATATATACAGAATCTCAATTTAAATGCTAAAGTTTTATTGTCAATACTTAAGTATATTTATTTTTCACAAAACTCACAGTTGAAAAAGCATATTTACACATTCAGTGCATAAAAAAATCAGGGAGAGGATAAGTAACCACTTTAAGGCCACACCATTAGTACACTACAGGTATTGCTATCATTCAGTCAGTCTGACAACAGAGCTGGTACTGCTTAAGGGAGGTAGAAAAATGCGAAACAGAATTCTCTATACTGTCTTACCTCCTGAAGGCTGAATACGTATCTTCACTTTACAATTAAGGAGGTTGAAGTTCAGAGAGATCAAATGTCTTGCTTACATCACTCAGGTATAAAGTCATGTGAATCTGGGTTTATTTTTGAGCTCTACTACTTAATGGCTATGTAACCTTGCCATGCTTCTACTTTCTTCATTAGGAGATGGGGATAATAAGAATATTATCCTATGAGGATAATACTTTTCTCCAGTATTATCCTTAATAATTATAGTGAGAATTAAAGTTAAATACTGGGTTTTGTCATACCACCTGACATGTAGTAACTTTTAGTAACTGGTATCTATCGTAATTTGTCCAATATTAATTATTATTATATAATAAGTGATGAAGCCCAATCCAGGCCTTCTCATTCCAAATCTGATGTTTCCAGTGCATTCAGTTGCCTTTATAAGTTGCATCTAAGAAATGTGCAAGGCAGAGCTTCTATCCAAGTTATCACTGCCACATATTATCACTGCCAATCAACTAATTGTGGTAAGAGAATGGATAGGGTGACAAAGATTCCCTAAAACACGTTGCCCCACACCCATAACAAATTTCTCATCATTGACTGTTCTCTTGTGTCATTAATTGAGTGACATTTCAGATTTGCGTTAACTGCATCTGTACAGTCTTAGTGAAGACAAAGACAAAACAAAGCATTCTTTTTTAAATTTTTTTTCTTAGTTGTCAATGGACCTTTATTTTATTTATTGATACGTAGTGCTGAGAATCAAGCCCAGTGCCTAACACATGCTAGGCAAGCGCTCTGCCACTGAGCCAAAACCCCAGCCCCAAAACAAAGCATTCTTAATGGTGCTTCCTATGTACCTTTTATGGGCTTTTCTTTCTGCTCTTCTCAATCTCAATATTTAATCTTTGCTTGGGAGCCAGCACTGTGCCCAGTGTTCACACAGGTGGGATGTTATAGCATTTTCTGTGCTGATCACCTTTTTAAAAAGTCCTTTTGGTTGATGTGTGTGTGTGTATAATGTATACATATAATATATACATATTATATATTACTCAGCCTTAACAAAGAAATACATGGTGCCTTTTATTTGTTTGTTTGTTTATTTATTTATTTATTTATTTTTTGGAGCTGGGCATTGAACCCAGGACCTTGTGCATGCGAGGGAAGCACTAGGTGAACTGAGCTATATCCCCAGTCCTTATTTCTAATAATATGAATGACCCTGAAGAACATTTTGCTAACTGAAAGAAGCCAGACACACACACATACACACATACCTATATTTTCTCACCTTAATGTGGAACCTAGAAAAAGTTGAATACATAGAAATAGAGAGTAGGGGGGCTGGAGTTGTAACTCAGTGGTACAGTGCTTGCCTAGCACATGTGAGGCACTGGGTTCAGCACCACATAAAAATAAATAAATAAAATAAAGGTGTTATGTCCATCTATAACTAAAAATAAAAAGAAATAGTGAGTAGGATGGTGTTTCCCAGGTGTGAGGGAGAGAGGTAATGGGTAGATGTAGATCAGAAGGTATAAACTTGTAGGTATGCAGTTTTGAATTATTCAGTTGTGAATTGGTCTAGAGATCCAGTGTACAGCATGAGGACTAGATAGTTAATAACATTGTACACTGAAAATTTGGTAGGATAGTAGATTTTGGCTGCTGTCTCCACATACAAAAAAAAGTAGCTATGTAACATGATGCATGTGTTCATTTGCTTGACTGTAATTATCATTTCTCTCTATATAATAACATAATGCTGTGGTGCGTGCTTGCAATCCCAACAACTCATGAGGCTAAGACAGGAACATCACAAATTTGAGGCCAGCCTCAGCAGCTTAGTGGTGTCCTGTCTCAAAATAAAAAAGGGCTGGGGGGTATGGCTCAGTGATAGTGGGCCTCTATTTCCAGTACTGAAAAAAAGAAAAGAAAGCAAGAAAGAAGGAAAATGGTTCTTTAAAAGTAAACTGACAGGGCTGGAGATGTGGCTCAAGCGGTAGCACACTCGCTTGGCATGCATGTGGCCCAGGTTCAATCCTCAGCACCACATACAAACAAAAATGTTGTGTCCACCGAAAAGTAAAAACTAAATAAAAAAATTTTTTTAAAAAGTAAACTGACAAAACTTCTCCCCTAGGGTCATCTGGCGTCAATTCTTTCTTCTACTACACTGCAAAGACTCAAAGAAGATACTATTAATGAAAGTCTTTATTGTTCCACCACTGTACTCCTGGCCACTTATAATAAGTGGTACCACAGGCAAATAATCTAATTTTTTTGATTAGTTTCATCATCTGTGAATGGGGCCTTACTCATGGTTTGTTATGTAAGTGAAATTATGCACATAAGACACTTAATTTAGTGCCTGAAGGATTGGTAGACACTAGCAAACTGTGATTATAAATGACCAGAGGTAAAATATTAACACGTTCTAATGAAAACTTACTTCCTTTCTGGCAAACAAATGTCTTACACGTAGCTGCTCTGAGTCAGGGTTTTTTAAAAAATCTTTTTTGGTTTTTATCATTGTGTTACCTAGTGATTAAGAGACTGAACTAGAAATGCTTTTCTACGTGACTCCATTAAAGACCTTGTCCCACCCCCTGTTCCATAGCCATTCAATACTCCTAGTCAACATACGAATTGTCCAGCTTATTTTTAAATCAGTAATGCATTGTAATTTCTTGATGCCCAGAACTAGCGGTGCTATAAAACTTCATTTGAATGCAACTTTTTAGTTCCTGGATCTACCTAAAACGTTTCTTTCTTACTCTAAAACACCTTTGAGTTTTCATATATAGGTGGTCATCGGTTTTGAAATAAGGAGGATTCTTTTACCAATAGCCATACCTTGTCCTTTCATGAACTGTCTGAAGAATTCATCCCAAGAGGCATAGCTTGGAATATCAGGGACATCATTGTGGAAATGGAAAAAAGATACCGCTGTATCTTTAGGGTTGCGGAATATCACCAATATCTGGGGAGTGAAAACCAAGTTAATTTATTTAGGTCTACGTTTTGGACATTGGAAGAGTGAAAGGGAGAGCAGTGTCATTGTGTCCAGATGTATATTTTGCACAATTGTGTTTAGAGAGAGAGAAAGAAGGACAGACAGAAAGAAGTCGCAGATGGGGAAGCCTGGGCAGAGGGGAGGAAGAAAGAGGAAGGCAAGGAAGATGGATGTGGTTGCAGGGGGCCTTGGCTAAGGATGACTTCAGAAAGTAAAAACGTGTGTGCAGATGATAGAAATAAGGAAAACAGAGCACATGCACCAGAGGAGTCACAGGAGTATCCTGTGAAAGGCTACGCCCCCAAATAAAATTAAAATTGCAAAATAACTTTAAAGACCTTAAGATTAGAACTGGTGGAGAAGATCAAAGAATGGCAAGGCGCACTGTCTGGGGACCAAGGTATGAGGTTTGTGCAAGACGGTGATGTAGATGAAGAAGAACCACTAAATTGCCACCTTCTGTCTTCTCTGACGATGACAGAGTTTTTTTGGATGAAAATAAAAAGCCAAATAAACACTGTAAAGAGCAAATTGAAAGAGAATCAAATATTGTGGTAAGGTGCCTGGCGGCTCTCCCAGTATTCTGGCTTCCAATCTGATACTTTGTGTTTCAAACCAAGGATTCTGGAGAAGGTCACTGAGCATGTTGGTGAAAACTCTGGGTATTCTAGGTCACACAGAAGAGCTCAGGTGACTACACTTACAGAACGTGTGGGAGACACAGATGGTGCAAAGTTCCAATTGCAATTCTGACCTCCCTGTAGGCCAAGCTTCTCCAGCTGGCTAAATAGATTCAAGGCAACATAAAGGAGGAGGCAGTGACCAGTAGGGGGCAACCTGGGTCCACTCAGATACCGGCACTGCTGAGAGCAGGATTTTTGGACATGGTTTCTAATTAATAGATTTGAGTTGCTTTTGATTGCTTGTATGAAAATAGAACGTCAGTGGGAAGCAGGAGCAATTAGGCATATAAAGCTGACCAGTACTCAAGTGCAAAGGAGGCTAAATCATTAATGAATATAAACCTATCTGAATTTTATTTTATCCTGAGAGGACCATCGTTAACAATTTCATGGGTGATTGACCTAAAGATTCAGATCTATTTCTATCAAATCAGTAGATGATATGAAACTGAGAGGGAAATAGGATCCCCAAACACCTTGTGCATCTAAAAAAAATGAACTAATGCTAACAGTATAAATTTTTTTCCCTGAGCTGGAGGTGTGGCTCAGTGATAGAGTGCTTGCCTAGCATGTGCAAAACCCTGGGTCAGTCCCTTTACTTGGGAAAAAATTTTCCCGTGCAGGGAATCAACCCAGGGCTACGCACATGCTAGGCATGTGCTCTCCTACTGAGCTACACCCTAGCTTCTTTTTTTTTAATTATTATTATTTTAGCAGGGACTCACTAAATTATGGAGGTTAGCCCTGAACTTGCATTCCTCCAGCTTGAGCCTCCTGAGTCGCAGAGATTAAAAGAGGGTGGACCACTGTGCTGGCCATAACAGGGTAAAATTGAATAGAGATAAATGGGCTGGGGTTTTGACTCTGATTTAAAGCTTACCATTCCCCCCTATCCAAATTTAGTATATTCTTGTCATTTGAAGGATTTTATGTTTGAGGCTTTAACTGACACTCATTGAACACTTTGGTTTGCAGTAATTCATAATTTCACAAAGACAGGAATTTGAATTGAGAAAGCCAATAGGCGAGAGTATGGACAAATCCTAAGCATCCACCTCTTAACCCATCTGTTGCTCTTTTCTTGCCCTTGTATCCTTTTATTAATATTTATTTTTTAGTTATAGGTGGACACATATCTTTATTTTTGTGTGGTGCTGAGGATAGAACCTAGTGCCTCATGCGTGTTAGGCAAGCGCTCTACCTCTGAGCCACAATCCCAGCCCCGCCCTTGTATCCTTTTGAAGAGTCACTCTGCCAGGTGCAGTGGTGCACATCTGTAATCCCAGCTATTAGGCAGGAAGATTTCAAATCCAAGGCCGGTCTCCTCTACATCTTGACCAGAGTTGTCTCAAAATTTTAAAAAGTAAAAAGGGCTAGGAATGTAGTTTAGTAATAGAGCAAAGCCTGGGTTCAATCTCCAGTAACCCTCCCCCCTACAAAAGAGAGAGAGAGAGAAAGAAAAGAAAGTGACCAAATGCATTATAAATTACTTCAGCTCTGTTTGTAATGAAATCATTAAGAGGAAAAAAAAAGGCCATCTAGATTTGTGATTATGTTAACTGCAATAAACAGAAAATTGTATGTTAAAGTATTATTTCTAATTTTGTAGATTTTCAACATAAGGAAAAACTGTTTTACAGAGTTGTACAAAGCTGGCTTAGTACAATTTAGGGAATAGAGGATTTATAATTGGATGTGCTCAGTCTTGGTCCAGACAATCACTTAATGGAATTAAAACACCCACTGGGAATAGAGTAGACCATTTTTAAGGTATTTTCCAATTCTAGGCTCCCAGGATTCTTGTATTGTAGCCACAGGTGGCTAATTCTAGTCCCCACTTTCCTAATGTTTTCCATCCTACTCTTCTTTCCTCCTCTATTCCTCTTGTCTCTCACCCCTGGCAGTTTAACCCAACTGTTTTCTTTTCCTTTCTTTGACGTTACTTCACTATTTCCCATTCTTCTTTGTGGCATTCAAAAGTTTAAATCTTGATTTTTAACTCACTCTAATTCTTACCTTCTGAGACAGAGAAAAGAGGCACCAAGAAAAAAGAATGGGGCAGGAGGAGACCAGGGAACAGAAAACAAAAAGGACCAGGTAAGAACTAATAATTATAAGAAATAGATTAACGAATCAAGATTTTTCAACAAATGATCAGACTAGCCAAAGCACAAATAGTTCTGCATGCATGGCATGAAATTTGTTATTATGTGTGAAATGCAGAAATAAAATAGTTTCAGATCTCAGGCAAGGAGTGCTTACCAGAAATAATCAAAGGAAAATTTCTGCTCATCTTACTAGGCTGTATTCTTTTGTTAAACACTCTAAAATAGTCTAGTGGGGTTCTGAAATCTACTAATTGTATAAAACAGATTACAAAATGCTACACCTTTCATTCTATGCATTTGTCTTATATCTTAGTCAAAAACGCATTGGACTTGAACATAACCATAGCAAATATATCTGAAAAAAGAAACAACAGCAAAAGAAATACTAAATCTCACATTTTGATTATCAGCTTTCTATGAGAAAACTCATCATGTTTCTCAAAAAGCTAATAGCTACGGGGCTAGAGTATAACTCAGTGGTAAAGTGCTTTTCAGGCATATACAAGACTTTGGGTTCCTTCCCTGGTACCACAGTAAAAACAAATGGAAAAAAAAAAAAACCCAGCCAATATATACACATAAAAATTGCAAATTCAAATACCAGTAGGAAGGGACACTCACCTTGACTTTATGTTCCAAGATGGATCCAGGTAATTTGTCATAATGGAGGTGAGTTGTCAAAATCCTTGGTGACGGAAACTGTTTCATTCTCTTTAAAACATACAAAGTAAGATGAAAGAGCAGGTGTCGTGCATTTGTGTGTGTGTGTGTGTGTGTGTGTTGAATCACCCCTAGGTGTGGTATCTAACTAAAAGCTTCAAGCACCACTATCACTGCTTCTTCATTTCTCCTGCTCCCCCTGCAAGCAATTCAATAAAATGTCCTTGCTGGATCCTGCCTATTAATTTCCAATGTTTGTTGTTGCTTAATATTTTTTTGTTTATTTTTTTCTACAGTTGTTTCAAATTTCTTTTGTTCAAGACAGTTTACAATTTGCAATCCTCTCTTTCACTTATTTGGAGCTTTTCACATTCAAGTTCTTTTAATGGAAATATTCAAGTCTTCCCACAGCTTCTGTAAATCCATTTTTAACATCTAGATCTTTTTTTAACCAACTAAATTTCCATGCAAATATCCCAATAGGGGGCTGGGGCTGGGCCTCAGCTGTAGCTCACTTGCCTGGCATGTGGGAGGCACTGGGTGTGATTCTCAGCACCGCATATAAATAAATAAAATAAAGGTCTATCAACAACTAAAATAGATATATAAATAAATAATCCAACAGAACTTGAAAGTCCAAAGAATTACTTAAATATCTAGGAAATATATTACAAAAGAAATTCTTGTCAGTATGAGAATTATAAGGTGATTGATTCTTTTTTTTATTTTTTTTTTTTGTGTGTGTGTGTGTGTGTGGTGTTGGGGACTGAACCCAGGGCTTTGTGCATGCGAGGCAAGCACTCTACCAACTGAACTATGTCCCCAGCCCTGGTGATTGATTTTTTTCTGTTATGTATCTCTACTGATAATTTTGGAAATCAAGTTTTCTATTTAATCTGCCAGGATAAAGGGTTTTAACTTAAAATCAGACCTTTAGATCATGTCATGGTGTGGGTGGGGGATGACACTAAGTTTTCATGTTTAAGTTCCACATGTTTAGTGGTCACTCTGTTTGCTATGGCTATGGTACACCTACTTTTTTCAAGTGATAAAATGATATTTGAACATTTGTAGCCAATTGTTTCTGTAAACATTTAGCACAAACCTCAACTCAAGAAGGGAAGTAAAAAATGAGATTTTTAAAAGGAAAATATTTAAGTCAACAATATTTAAGTCAACAATTGGGTCCAAGTGGTGATTAGCAGTGATCATATCTTATTTACATCAAATTGTACTTTTTAGTATTTGAAGTACTTTTACATTCATTCACAACAATCCTTTCAAGTAGATATTGAAACCCCCATTTTAGAGATTAAGACCAGGCTTTGAGATTTTTAAATGCTTTGTGTAAAATTACACAGGTGGTAATTTTCAGATTAAGTGATAGAGTACTGTTTCTACTAAATTACATGGCCCCAAATCACACTGTGACACATGAGAGATAGTAAGGTTATTCAAAGGATTAGAAATATATCCCCAGGGAAAATGACAGTTAACTGCCACAAAATTAGATAATTATATAATACTGTGTTTATGAAAATGTATAGTATAGCCAAACTATGCCATGTAAAGACTATTTTGTTTCAGGAAATATATGCATTCTAGAAAGGTTTTCTGTAAATTGAAAAGATTTGTTTGAGGTTACTTGTTTGGAAATTAAAATAGACTTTCCTAGAGAAACAATAAAAAATGTGAAAACTTATGACTCAGCATCCCAAACCCAATTTCAATTTTTTAAAATTTTATTTACTTATTTTGGTGCTGGGGATTGAACCCAGAGCCTTGTACATGCAAGGCACACACTCTACCAACTGAGCTATACCCCCAACCCTCCTATTTCAATTTTAAGAAGAACCTGCTTATCTCAGTGATAGGTAATAACACAAGCAAATACAGTAAGAAAGGTTATATTAGTAAGGTGTATAACAACAAGTGAGATGACCTGTGACCCACATAATAAGTTTTTAAAAGAGAAAACTGGAAAGCTAGACATGTGTTAGCATCATTTCAAATGGTTGATGTTAAGCACGGTCATTAGGGGAAAGGTTTTGCAAGGACCCGGAGAAGTTAATGGGATTTTTCATTGGTTTTTCCAATTAAAAAAAAAAAAAAGCTTCTTAAATCTCCTGTCCACCCATCCTGCCTGCATGTCTGAACCTGTCCTGACTGAGCCTCCACCAATTGTCCTTTAGTGCAGATGACCCTCCCAGGTGTGGGACCTGCAGGCCTGATGTGCCTGCTAGTCCTTCTGATGACTCCTGATGTTCCTTTGCCACCAACCAGACCCAGGACTTGGCACTTGCCTCCCCACCCCACTCCCGGTCAATTATTTCTGCTACTTGGGCCCAATCCATGGAAATGGGCTATCTAGGGTCCAATTTCTAAAGTTTGTACTTGTCATCGTGGTAAGAGTCTCAGTCACTTTCCAGGAGCTGTTCCCTAAGTCCCAGTCCAATGACTTTCTTTATAGTAACAGCTTTGTCTGCCTGGTGGGAGATTTGGTGGTGAGCACTTCTGAAGTTTTATTGAGACTGTGGTCCCCTTAAATACAGCATATCTTTCCCACTGCATTCTGATGTGTCCAGGGGCAGGGAGAGGATGCTCCTCCTCACTCCTGTTCTGTGTAAGCACTAAGGTCCTCAGGTATGTCCTCACTTCTACCACTTTCTTGCCTTCCCTAAGCTGCCAGGGAGCAGAACATCCTGACTCACACCCAAGTCCCAGTATTGGAAAGGTGAGAAATACCAGGTCGGGTGAGTTGTTAATGCCTTCCTACACAGCAGTGACCTAGTCTCTAAGCTATCACTTGGCCCCTTCCCATCCCTCAAACATAAACACCAGATCATAATTGAGATAGGGAAATAAAAAATAATGTCTTGTGAGGAAAAGACCAAAAATGATTCCCATAATGTCCTGCCCTTGTCTGTGTCTTCAGAGGTGAAGCTTTTTTAATTTCAGTTCATTTCCAGAGGTTTCTTAGTCTACTTTCCCCCACTACATTAAAATAACAATAATAATATGGATGGTTATGCAGTGTAATCTTTTTTTTTTTTTTTTTTTGGAGGCGAGGTGCAGGGATTGAACTCAGGGGCACTTGACCACTGAGCCACACCCCCAGCCCTATTTTGTATTTTATTTAGAGACAGGGTCTCATCGAGTTGCTTAGCACCTCATTAAATTGCTGAGGCTGGCTTTGAACTCAAGATCCTCCTGCCTCAGACTCCCAAACTGCTGGGATTAAAGGCGTGAGCCACTGAGCCCAGCATGCAATGTAATCTTTAAGAGCTCAAATCAGAAAGCGTGGGTTCAAATTCTGGTACTTATTAGCCTCTTAACCTTAGGTAAATCTCTAACAGTTGTTTTGTTTGTGAAATGGTAATAAAGGTTGTTTAGTGATAAAATCAGATAATAGCTAGAAAGCACTGAGGATATGGCAAGCACACAATAAATTGTAGCAATTGTTACCATTATTCTAACGGAATTCAGCATTGAGGAATCTCCAATGAGGAAGAAATCCTTCTATGATAATTTTTTGCAAGTTTAAAGTCTGTTGTACTAACCTGATATTTTTCTGAGTCCCCACATTCAAGAACTGGGAATTCTGGACATTCATATTGTTTTTTAGAAACAGCAAATATTAATTCACTGACAATGTGAAGAATCCAATTTGAACCTATAATAAAATCCAGAAAATAAAAGCTCATTAAGGAATCTTAATATAACAAAGGCATGTGGGTTTAGTACATTCATGATAAAAATGAAAATGTACAATGAAAAAAGAAAACGTCCAACCATTACCCAATGGGTAGCTTTAGTTCTCCTGTGTTTGAAATAACTCAGGCTATAGAAAGAAACCATTTTGTAATAAACAGCATTTACTAATATTAGTGTAATATCCAATTTATTTTTAAAATTTAAGTTATTTCTCAGATGTCTCCTTTAACAAGAGACATGCTTCTTTTTGAATCTAAAATGTGTCCTTAAAAAAAAGTTGTTCTAAAAATGGTTGTTTATTATATCTCATATGTATTATTTTACCTTAAATTAACAAATATTTTCCATAGGAGAATATAATTTTCTTTCTTTTTTTGGTGGTGCTGGGGGTGTATAATTTTGATTTTTATCAAAACCCAGCAGTGGGTACAAAAAAGAGAAATATTAAATGAAGCTGACTTTAATAAGCAACAGTTCAAAGAATTAAAAATAGATGGTATCAAAAAAGGGTAATTTAGACTCTTAATATCTCATCCTCCTGTTGATAAAGGACTTTTGTAAAAATGATCTGAGAAACTGGAGGATCCATGTTTGATCCTGAAAAATAACCAGTGATCCAAAAATCATTACATAAATTACAGAAACAGCCATGCTTTTGCCTTGGGTCAAAAACCAAGATGAAAATCTCTACCACTATCCAAGCTCCATGGCAACTGGACTTTCCCACCTTCTGCTTCACCTCTGCAGCCCCATCACCCCACACTTCCACCACCCATCATCCACCATGCCATTTACACAGACCTCTTCCTTCAGACACTGGGCGTTTTTAAACCCAGCTATTCTAGCTTTTGATCTTACCACCTGTGTATTTAGCCTTCTTGAACCCTCCTCACTGGTATCCAGCCAGCTTCATAGAAAGATGAACTGTCTTCATCCCACTTTATCTTGCACCCACCTCCAACCTACTCATTGTTAAAAATGCGCTTACAGGAAATGATTGGCTATTTACCACACTTTGGGTAAGATGCTAGCACAATGTCATCGCTCCTGGCTTCAAAGGTGTCCATCGCTTGGAAAGTTTCTGAGGTACACATGGTAACTGGGTAAGGAATCCCCTGATAGGTGAAGAATAAGCGAGAAAGTGCAGTTTCTTTTGATTTTTCTAAAGCATCATCAATGTACTCAATAAATTTGGACTTATCTGCCATGCTGACTTCCTGCTAGTGAATCTGCTCTGTGCTTGTCCAGGTGCAGGGATTGCTTTTAATGGAGTTAGAATAAAGAACTCCTCCCATTCATCATTTAATTCTCATCCACCTCTTCCCCCTTTTGACATATCATCCTCAACAAAAGGAAAGCCACAGGTGCAAACCAGTGTGAGGATCAAGCAATATTAACCCTGAGTGCCGATTATATTACCATCTAGGTAACCCGCCCAGTGAAAGTAAGAATGAAATCTTCTAATAGAGGATTAATACATATTAAATATCTAACGATAGGTATTTAGCTGAATCAGGCATACTATTTTCCTATTAGCCATCCACAGAATGAAACCCAGTTTTCTTCTTGGTGGGCAGTTTTCCACACACATCCTAGTCAGTGTGACAGGGAAGCAATGGGGTTGCAGTGTAATAACTTGGGGGACAACCTGGGCATCAGGCTCAGGTCTACCATTTATTGGCTCGATGGATTTAGAAGTCTCTTCTTCACCTATTAACAAAAGAACATTATGGTTCATAGAGGGAACTGCTCTATGAGGGGAAGAACTCAATGTGGCCCCATCTCCAGCCCTCTGGGTTCTGCTCCTGCTGGTTAAGGTCTCTAGGATGAGATCCTGCTCTCTGTAGCAGTTTCCCTGGCAGCTCTTCTCCCCTGTTCCCTTGGGTGAGTTGGCCCACAGTTCCCACCTCCCTTACAGCTTACTGTGGGCCTGGGGCTAATGGGAAGTGAACATAAGTGACATGTCCAACTTCTGGGTCATGTCCTTAAGACAGAAGTTGATGGTTTTTCCAATTCATATCTATTTCCTTTCCCACATCTGGATAGCAGACCTGATGCTGGAGAGCCACACTTATTAATTTGGATAAAAACATCATTTCAGAGGATGGTAGAGCAACAAAACAGAGGAAACCTGGCTACTGGACAACCTAGGAACACAGAATCATGACTCACATCTATGACAAGTCTTCATCTGAAGTGTATATGTTTTTTTTTTTTTATCTTCAAATTCTGGTATTTAATAAACATGTAAAGATCCTCTGAATATAAAAGTTATAATTAGTCACTTGTGCCTGTAAGTATAAAACTGATAGCAGTAGAAAAGAAGAACAATTTGCAATTCTAACAACATGAGTAAAAGGAAATTTCTGTAAGATTTGATTCAGAGTTTTAACTGCTTGTGGTCAACACAAACCACTGGTTTTTTGTTTGTTTGTTTTTGGGTAGTGGGAGTTAAACTCAGGGGCACTCGACCACTGAGCCAATCCCCAGTCCTATTTTTTTTTTTTTTTTGTATTTTATTTAGAGACAGGGTCTCACTGAGTTGTTCAGAGCCTCGCTTTTTGCTGAGGCTGGCTTTGAACTTGGGATTTTCCTGTCTCAGCCTCCCAAACTGCTGTGATTACAGGTGTGTGCCACCACACCTGGCAGTACAAACCACTGTTTAAATTCACAAATTTTACCAATCTTGGGGATTTTATTTTCACTTATATGAATTATGAATTTTACTAGTGTTATTAAATACTACTTTCAGCATACAGCCTCAGAAGATTTTTTTTTAGTTATTAAGTGGTAGGTAGATAAGGTAGGGTGTTCCCTGTGGTAAGTTCTCATCAATGGGTTATTTGCTGCTGTGTTCTTTTTCTGACATTTCTCGCTGGTGAATTGTATCCTGTGCTGCTTGCTGCATTTTCTCCAGTTTTTCCAGAGTCAAAGATTTTAAGGGTAAAAGTTGGGTTTACACAGCACCATTGTGATTACGCATTCCCCAGACAACTGCCCTTGGTTTGGAAGAATTTTCTGGAACATTGACTTCACTTCTGCCATATCTGAATTGTTGGATACATTAATTTTTTTTCCCTCAAGTTCTGGTCATTTTCTTGCTGTTTTAGCATCTAATCTGGTAATATCAAGATGTCAGAGTTCCTGACTAAAGTCTACGGAAGGAACTACATGATGTAATGTCATAATCTTGTAAAGACGCATCCCTTCCAGACCAATCAGCTGTTGCCCAGGGTAACACAAAGGAAAAAAATCTGTGTCATGCTGGAGACAGGAAGTCAGGAAGCTCTCTGGACTCTATATATCCTGTCTAGTAAATTGCTAGGTCAAAATTTACTTTTTAACTTTTTAAATCAAAATTTCCATAAATACACATTGTGCCTTTCTTCTTCCTTCTCACTCTCTTTTCCACATCATTACCTTTCTTTCATTTTTCTCCCCAACTCTAAGAGCATGGTCTTTTACTCCGTTTACCTTTCTCTAAACCAATTCTAACCTGTTAAGAAGCTAACTCCTGGGTATGCCTCATTTCCTTGCTGTAATCATTCGTTTATCAGTTAACATAATAGCTCACATTATTGAACGCTTACATGTACCACACCCTCTACCACACTGCTGAGATGACATGCATGATGTAAGGTAACTTCCTAACAGACCTATGAAATTGGTGTTACTTCATTACCAATTGGCCGATTGAGGCTTGTAGGGTCAAAGTAACTAACTGGAATTTGCAAAGCCCTTGGAGGAGCTGGTATCAGAATGCAGGCCGGACAGCTCAGACTAGTGAGAAGAGCAGCTATTGAGAGATCTCAGAAGTCCCAGGTTTAGTTGTTAGTGCTGGTATATTTTCTTTTCTTTCTTTTTGGTTTTGCCCACCCCCTCCCCCGCCTTGGGCCTCTGGATTGAACCCAGGGTGCTTAACCATTGAGCCTCATCTCCAGCCCTCTTTTGCTTTTTTATTTTGAGACAGGGTCTCACTTAGTTGCTTAGGACCTCACCAAGTTGCTGAGGCTGGCTTTGAACTTGTGATCCTCCTGCTTCAGCCTCCCGAGAGTCTGAGTTTACAGGCATGAGCCACCACACCCAGCGCTGGTATGTTTTCTGATGCTTCTTTACCTGCTCAGAACAAGAATACCAGCCCTTTCACTGGAGGCCGGGGGAGGGGGAACTTACCTTCTGAAGAGAAAGATTTTTATGACCACAAGGGAAAAAAATTTTTTGGTTTCTAGAATATTTTATTTAAAAACAACATTTTGACCAAACACTACATTGAATGTTTACACTAATTGTAAGACTCATTTAATTTCAGAAATGTAACATATGGAAACATATATATCTTAGGACTGAGGAAATCTTATATATACGTCAACAGAAAGTAGTTTACTGAGCAGGGTGTGGATGTGGGAGAGTAGATTTTTGTCTTTATTTTACAAGAGGAAAGAACTAATAAAAGAGGGTCCCTAGCTAGGAACAAATATCTGAATATAATCAAATTTGTAAATATTTTTGGTACTGAGGATTGAACCCAGAGGTGCTTTACCACTGAGCTATATTTCCAGCCATTTTTAAAATTTGAAGACAGGTTCTAAGTTGCTTAGGGCCTCACTAAGTTTCTGAGGCTGACCTCAAACATGTGAGCTGAGTTGCTGGGATTACAAGTGTGTACCACTGTGCCTGGCTGTGAATATTTATTTTTAAAAAATTGACTTGTGAAAAGGTAAAAATCAGAATAGCTGAGTATCTTAATATTTGTATATTCCACTCCCTCTTGAAGGTCTTATTGTCTTACACAATAATGAGATGATGGTCACTGTGGTTGGGAAGGTGTTTTAAGAATCTCCCTCTCAGAAAAGAAAGGAATAGGACTGGTCTCCTGCAAATTGGCTCAGTGGGATTATCCAATTCAACACAAAGAGTCTTTGTTTTCCTCTAGCATAGAATTTAAGACATTGATTCAGACATGATTATTGTTTGCTTGCTTCTTGGTGAGTGAAATATTTAAAAAGACAATGGTCTGGATCCTGTTCTGAAAGTAATATTGTGATTATAAGAGGATTTGGGGGCCTCTTTGGGATGGGTAATGTGACCTCGATTCTTTGTCTCCCCAGGGTTAGGTCATTCTGTCAATTGGCAATTCCACATACTCAACTCTGAATTGTCTGGCACGTATGATGAAGGCAAAGGGCAGGAAAGTAGATATATTAGCACTGCCCACCTTCAAGCGCAGGTGGGCCTCATGTTATGTGAAATCCCGCCCTCCCATTCAGCACCTGTCTTATCCACAGTAAGGGTAAATGGCCGAGACTTTCTAGACTTTGTTTCCTTGTCACTAGATAGGGTCCAAAGAGATCCTCAAAAGAGAAAAGGGGATCTCAACTCTTTCATCCCTCTGGCAGGTTCTTGACCTACATCACAGAAAGATATGTCAAAAGAATCACAAGTGGAGGCCTGGGGTTTTGGCTCAGTGATAGAGCCCTTGCCTCACATGCATGAGGCACTGGGATCGATCCTCACCACCACCTAAAAATAAATAAATAAAATGAAGATATTGTGTCCATCTATAACTAAAAAAATTTTTTGAAAAAAAATGCACAAGTGGAGATTTATTTAGGACAGCAAGATTTATTCAGGAAAACAAACACTAGAGCAGGATACGCACTCAAAGGTAGAGGGGTACAGGAAATGGAGATTCAGACATGCTTTGGGGTCTCAATCTTTTTTTTTTTTAAAGGAAACTATGTAAATGGGGACCATGAAAGCATACAGGTAGCATCAGCCTAATGAACTTGATTCTTTTGATGGTGGAGCACAGAGTGGGCCATAGAGATCTGGTTCTTCTTAGAATCTTCAGGTTGATATTATGTAGTCAATAGCTGCTGCTGCTATCATCTAGTCAATTAGATTGCTCCCATATCATGGATCTTTAACAACATTTCTCTCTAGGCTTCTTTTACTTAGTCTATAAATACATTCTGTAAGCAAATGAGATACTCTACAATTTTATTGGATGTTTTAAGAATTTAGGCCTACACCATTTGACCCAGCTATTCCCCTTCTTGGTCTATTCCCTAAAGACCTAAAAAGGGCATGCTACAGGGACACTGCTACATCGATGTTCATAGCAGCACAGTTCACAATAGCAAGACTGTGGAACCAACCTAGATGCCCTTCAATAGACGAATGGATAAAAAAAATGTGGCATTTATACACAATGGAGTATTACTCTGCATTAAAAAATGACAAAATCATAGAATTTACAGGGAAATGGATGGCATTAGAGCAGATTATGCTAAGTGAAGCTAGCCAATCCCTAAAAAACAAATGCCAAATGTCTTCTTTGATATACCCCTTCTAGGTCTATTCCCTAAAGACCTAAAAAGAGCATGCTACAGGGACACTGCTACATCGATGTTCATAGCAGCACAGTTCACAATAGCAAGACTGTGGAACCAACCTAGATGCCCTTCAATAGACGAATGGATAAAAAAAATGTGGCATTTATACACAATGGAGTATTACTCTGCATTAAAAAATGACAAAATCATAGAATTTGCAGGGAAATGGATGGCATTAGAGCAGATTATGCTAAGTGAAGCTAGCCAATCCCTAAAAAACAAATGCCAAATGTCTTCTTTGATATAAGGAGAGTAACTAAGATCAGAGTAGGGACGAAGAGCAGGAGAAGAAGATTAACATTTAACAGGGATGAGAGGTGGGAGGGAAAGGGAGAGAGAAGGGAAATTGCATGGTAATGGAAGGAGACCCTCAGGGTTATACAGTGGAGGAGGTAGAGAGAGAGGAGGGGAGGGGAGGGGAGAGGGTGGAGGACGGGAAAGGCAGCGGAGCACAACAGACACTAGTATGGCAATTTGTAAATCAATGGATGTGTAACGGATGTGATTCCGCAATCTGGGTATGGGGTGAAGGTGGGAGTTCATAACCCACTTGAATCAAAGTGTGGAATATGATATGTCAAGAAATTTGTAATGTTTTGAACAACCCACAATAAAAAATTAAAAAAAAAAAAAAAAAGAATTTAGGCCTAGATTTAAAAAAAAAAAAAAAAACAGGCCTGGGAGGTTGAAGGGAAGGGTGTTCATGGAGTTTTTAGATTGGAAGTTAGAGTCTCTCATTCCCTGTTCGTCTCCTTCTACCTATTCTATTTCTTCAATCCCTCCTCAGCCTGACTGCTCTGGGATACAGCTGCAAAGGAGGCTTATTTAAATGTCCCTCCTTTGCATTAAGATCTTTCCTGCTTACCTTCTCTTTTTCTTGGCTACAGGCTTGTTATCCACCTTCTCATGAGAAAACAGATGGGAAAAAAAAAAAAAAAAGTCTAGTGTGATTGAAATGAAGTCGGATTAGTAAAGCAGGGTCAAATAGCACAGGGTTTCTGTGAGACAGCCAGCCTCACTGCCCGTGGTTTGGACAGTAATGTCAACCCCCTCTGACTATGGCCCTCGATATGCAGCAGTGTTCCTTCTGGATGAAGTTGTGCTTTTTCTTTTCTTTAGCAAGAGATGAGCTTTTTTTCCAGTGTAGCTCAAGAGTGAGGTTTACCTTGGAATTCCTCAGACAGGGAGAGACTGAAATCTTTTTCTTTTGGGGATTTACTAAAGATTGGCCCACCAGGCAGGTGATGCCCTGAGACAGTGGAGGCGGAAACATTTGAAATCCAGGATGGCTTGTCTGGTATGCTACTTTGGCCTTTGTAAGGAAGGAGAAATTCCTTTTCCTTCCCCATCCTGTGTTCCTGGCTGAGGTCCCTAGGACAAAAGACAGCTTAACCAGAGAAACTATATTAAAATTTTACATCATATAGACTTCATCAAGAACTGAAGCCTCCCAAAGAAACAGTTAAACTTGTATATTTTTGTGTTATTTGATGAATAGTGGACAATTATGGAGAAATGTAATTGTACAAAGGGGTGTGATCCAAGAGGAATACATTTAGGGGAACTTAGCCAGGCCTATAGTTCTGATTCTTTCCTTTGATCCTGTGTCTTCAGGGATAAGAATGTTCCTTTCTTCTGGGCATAGGGAGGGCACCCCACTAAGAAGGGTCTTATGATTTATTTTAGTGGAAGGTCAGAAAATCCTTCATAGATCTTATGATCTTATGCCTTGGGGGAAAAGGGTAAAGACATGGAAAGGTGAGAGAGACCTTCCTGCATCTGCTGTTTTCTCAAATGCCAAGTTGCCCTCTTTGGGGGTAGCATGTTCTGAAACCCATCACCTCCTTGACTGAGGGTGATGGAGGACTGCTCCATTCCAAAGCCCAGCAGCTAGCAGGGCAGGGTCCTAACCACCTCCCATTGTCCCTGCTGCAGAAACAGTGCCCACTGCTCTTGACTACTCTGTGGTCTTCTGCAGGGAAGACTCAGCCACTTCCCAAACCCTGGGCCCCTCCTCTTTGAGAAGGTGTCCTTTGCTGTCCAGCGGTAAGGAATCATTGCTGCCTCATGTCAGATAATGAAAGAGCTTTTCCCTCCAGTATCCTCCAGACCAGTTGCTTTTTCTCTTGAGGTGAGCATGGAAGAACCTCTATGTATTCGTTATGGGGAGATTTCTGGTGCCCTATAGTCATTTCAGAAGATGGAGACTTTGGTTAGCTTCTTTGTCTCTGCATGATGCAACAAGAACTTCTAGTTACTGGTATCCATCTACTAGCAAATCAGGACAGGACCAGGAATGCACTGCCCCCAAAGGACCCTTTGGGAGAGGTGCTGGAGACTTGGAGGAGGATCAACTGGACTTCTGAATTAGGGAGCTTGAACATTTGCATTCTGGGGCTGGGGTAAAACAGGTTTAGTTGCCTCCTCCCCTCAGTTATGTAGAAGGACAGCCTTTACACCTGCTATCTGTGAGTCCCTCCATTTGACACTTAAAAGAACCAGTGCCACCTTGAAAAATCTGACACAAGAGTCTCTCCCACATGCCCAAACACCCTCTGCCCAATTCTTTGATCAAATCAACTTAGCTTCCTTCACCTGGTCTCCACTGAATCTCCACTTTTCTTGCCCTAAACCTTGTGGCCAAATGTTCCTTGCCTCAAACATGATTGTGGAATCTATAAATGTATGTGTTCCCCTAAAATTCATATGTTGAAATCTTAACCCCCAAAGTGATATTAAAAGTTGGGGTCTTTGGGAGGTGATGAACTCAGGAGAGTAGGGCCTTAAGGACTGGAGTTAGTGTCCTTATGTAAGAGAATCCTTCGCCTCTTCTACTAGGATATAAGTCATCTTTGAAACCAGAAAGTTAGCTTTCATCAGACACTGAATCTGCCTAATGCTTTGTTGTTGGACTTCTCAACCTCTAGAGCTGTGAGAAATAAATATTTATCATTTACAACACCTAGTTTATATTTCTTTACTATCGAATAGTGTTTTAATTGATAAATATTTAAGAAAAGTCTAATGAACATAATGGGGTTTCTTTTGCTATGAAAATATTTATTGTGGAAAAAATGAATGAGAATGATCCCTTAAAGATTATGGCTGTCTTAAAGAAATATTAAATAGAATGAAAGTTCAATCCAGAGATGGTTTCTTTAGCAGACAGGTCAAGGGGATGCACATAGCCCAAATATTAAGATACTAGAAAAGTTGATTTAGGGCTGCTACGCGAAACGACTCTGGATCTGTGTAGATCTGAGTGCTATCGACCAATATGACATACTTTAATATAGTTTATGCATCAATATTTCTCATAATTGATGGTAGTTGTACTATGTGGTAGTTGTCCACATAGGTTGGACTTGGAGTCTTGGATTTGGCTGGGGTTGGGGCACCTGTGGTGAGTGTTGCCGAGGCCGTCAGAGCTTCCTTCACCTGGTATTGACAAAAACAGCTCCAATTATCACCTCTTCTCTGAAAAACTTCATGGCTTCCTGGGCTCCGAAACAAGGTCTTTAGCATTGTGTATTTTTCTCCAGTCATTTGTGGATATATTTTACTTTTCATTAGACTATACTTCGGTGAAGGTATATCTAAATATTTGGGGTATTCCAGGTTTTGTGTTACCCGTGGTATCTCAATAGACCTCTCATTTTCCCTCTCCTCCCTTTGCGTCATCTCTTTCTCTTCTTACCTAGTGGACAGTATATACTGAAAGAGCTTCTTGAATTTTGAATGGCAAAGGAATTGTCTAGGGATACGGATAGACCGCAGATCCTGGTTCAGTGGGCTTGCATTTCTGTCCAGTTCCGAGGCGATGAGGTGTTGCTGATCCCGAGACTTTGTGGCTTAGGATGCAGAAAGATGATACTCATCCCAGGCTTCTGAGTTAAGTTCTTGGCTCCGAATTATTTCTTCACACTTGATTTTAGCCTAAAGGCCGAGAAATGATCCGAATTCTTTCTCTTACTAGATGTGTGATTGTGTGCAGGGTAAATCTCCTATCTCTTCTGTAAAATGAGCTACTCGCAGCGCCTGCTAAACAGGGTTACCGTGGGGGCTTAGTAAAATAACACGCAGGGGCGGTCAGACTGGCTGCAGGACTGGCTGCTGGTGGGTACGCAAAACGGCCAGCGGATGGGGGCGGGGCCACAGCGGAGGGGCGGGCGCTGCAGCCTCGCGCACGCGCTGCTTGGGTGCGTGCACTTCAGGTAAGAGCGGCTGGTGGCACGCGTGAGGCTGCCTTAGTTGTAACTCCCGGGAGACCACAGGGACAGGTTTATTTTTGTTTTTAAGTTTTTATTTTGGAAGCGAGGCTTTGCCAAGTTATGAGATCTCGGACACTCCAGTGTCACTGTGTCCCGTGCTCGGGAGGCCGAGCATTTCCGGGTCGCTGGTCGACCTTGGCTGGGGTGGTGCAGCCAATTCACCACGCGCGTGTCGGTGCAGACCCGCCCCGAGAGTACCCGGCGGAAGGCAGGGAGGCCCGGGAATCCCAGAGGGGTGGGAGCGGAGCTGAGGCGTCCGCCGGGAGCTTGGTTCCCTACCGCGGGAATCTGCGCGACTGCTTTTGCTCTTCAAGCCCAGGGCCGAGATGCTTGTTAACGTCGCTCTTCGCTTCTACACTGGGAGGCCTTGCTGTTCCGATTCGTGTCGCCCTGAGATGCTGGGCCTTGTAGGCCACTTCTCAAATCAGCGACTTTGATTTGCAGCCTTCACTCACAGCCTCAGGTCAGGGGTTTCGGGACAGCGCTGCGCAATCCGGACACTTCAGCACTGCAGCGTGTGCACCGGAAGCCAGTTTGCCAGGACAGCATGATGTTAACCCATGACACTCACCCCTTCTTTTCTTTGAGCTTGACTGATTGCTTCATTTTAAATTTCATCTAAGCCCCACGCGCTTTGGCAATCCTGGGTATTCTGGTGCTGAAAATACCCAGGTGCTCCCTTGCCACATTTTCTGGTCAGGGCACCCCTGGTGGTTTTTAACCAAAGGGTATTTGTGAGCTGATAGAAACTCTGTCCCTGAAGCTCAGAGTTTATATTTTTAAAGAAAGGCAAATGTTTTATTATCACAGTGTTATTATTATTATTTTTTTAATCCTTAGCATCAATCTCTTCCAGCGACATTTTTTTTTTTTTTGGCTTGGATTCCTTAAGCTGTAGACCTGGTTGCAGGCAGGTCTTGTTGTCTTGAACTTAAAAAATAACTCCAAGAGGGCTGGGGTTATGGCTCAGCGCTTGCCATGGCATGTGTTTGATTCTCAGCACCACATATAAATAAATGAATGAAATAAAGGTTCATCAATAACTAGAAAATACATAAAAAACCAAGAGAACTCTCTGCTGAGCATGACTTATTTTGTCAGTAATGCACAGTATTGTAGAGAATAGAACAAAACCATTCTCACCTACTCATCCAAAGTTCTAACTTCTTTTGCTTCATTTCTTGTAAGAATAATAAAAAATTTAATCTTTTGGTCCCTAGGCGAGCACATTATCAAAACGAGAGTTGGTTATTTGGGTGGGGAGTTGGGGTGGTGAATACTTGATGAAGATATGATGGTATTGGAAGGAGATGCCTACACGCTTATAAAACTAAGATTTTAAAATTGTCTGAAGGATCTAGAATGGTGGAAGACAGGTTAAATCAACTTTTTAGCTCTCTAGGAACTAGGAGATTCCCACCCTACTCCTAGGTATTGTGAAAAGAAGGCAGAAACGGAGTAAGCATCTGCCAGTGATGAGAGACAACTGGGATTGGATAGCGTTAAGACAACAAACTGCCACTGTACAGAGAGAAAAAGGATGGGGGTGGGGGCAAGGGAGAATCACAATGTAAGATTAAAAACTAGTGGTTCTCCCATTCTTGATTTTGAGATTATATGGAGGCAGGACAAGAACTTGGACTTAGGTTTCGTATATTCAGTAAGTCTCATATTGCCCATTTCTTGCCCATCTCAGTTTTTACACTAATTAGAAAGACTCTTTCTCTCTTTTAAGCTTTCTGGGGATTGAATTGAGGGCCTCACATATGCTAAACATATACTCTACCTAGGAATTACACTCCCAGCCCACTAAACTTTTTTCATGTTTTGTGATGCTTAACCCTGTTGTGCTCTACCACCAAGCTTGACACTCAGCCTTTTCTTATTTTTGAGACAGGGTCTCACTAAATTGCTGAGGCTGATCTGGAACTTGTGATTTTCCTGCCTCAGCCTCACTAGTCTCTGGCATTACAGGTGTGTCACTGCTCCTGGCTTCAACTTTCTTGATTAGTTTTTATTTCAATTACAGGAAGAGAATCAAGATCTAGTCTGTGTTGCCACTTATTGGGTCATCACCTAATCAGTTTTCCCCCTTATGTGGCCCATGAGCTTCTTGCATAAAAATTACTTGGAGTGCCTACTAAAGGGCAGATTACTGGGGTGCCAACCTTAGACTTGCTGAATGAGAATTGAGATTGGGAGTGGAGGATTGCAGGCTGAGCCTCTTGGGCAATGCAATTCAAGTTTTAAGACTTAGAATAGTATCTCCCCAGGAAGAGGAAGCAGTTAGCTTACTGCTCAACTTTGTATCCTTAGTGTCTAGCAAAATGCATGAACTGTATAGCACATACTTCAACTTCTTTAAAAATTTTTATAAGTTAAGTTTTTTTAATAATGCCTTCTTGGATTTTAAATCCCTTTCTGTGCTTTATGCAGTCTTGAATCTTTGGTTATTGTGCTGCTTAGGCATTGAGATGAAAACTAGGTATGTAGGATGTGTCTAAAACAATGTAGTAATTTTGGGGTCTAATTCCTATAAAGTATTTCACACTGTGTGAATGGAGTTATTTTTTAATAGATGTGGCAAAATAAATTTAAGCATGTTCATTTGAGTTTATACATATTTGTTATTGTTAAATGTAGGATGGCCCACAAAATGGAATCAATGGCAAAGAAGATGTTTAAAGGAATTTTAGTAGCTGAATTGATGGGCGTTTTTGGAGCTTACTTTTTGTTTAATAAGATGAATACAAGTCAAGGTAATCATAATTCAGTAGTTAATGCTTTCAAGACAGACATAATGCATTTTAGTTATTAAATGCTATTGGCATTTTTGGAAAAATGTTCCTTCAGATTCAATGTATTAAGATATTTTTATGGGCAGAGAGGAAGCAAGGTATTTATTATGGTAGATGAGGTGACTCTCACATTTTTCACATGCTAATTTGCTTTTAGACTTGGGAAACTTCCAAAACTATGGGTTTTACTTGTGGGAAGGGGAGGGTCAGCATTAGTTTGGGAGCAGCCTGCCCATTGTATTTCCTTGCTTGGTAGACTTACAGAAAGCAGGAAGTAATATCACTGTATTCTCAGGATAACCAGTTTACTTGGGCTATAGTAATCTTCCTATACATCAATAGTGAGCAATAAAACCCTTCCCTGTGCAATCACTGAAAGTGATTTATATTAGAGTTCTCAACATTTTAAATTAGGAAGTACTGCTTTTTCTTGCCCTAAAACTGAATGAAGCAAAGAGCAGGGTGGTGACTTATCTTTGAAGTGTGTCACTTCTCTTCCTCAAAGTATCTTATTGGAACACTGTGTACCAGAGTGCTACTGGATAATTACAAATTTTTATACAGAGTTAATACATATTAAACTATAAAGTAATACATATTAAACTATATACATATATGTGAACTATATATAAGAAAGGGCATAAAGAAAACATACCAACAGTTTTTAAAAGCAAATTAAAGTTTGGTATTAGTTTAAAAAACTAGGTATGATTTTATTTCCAATTCCTTGTCAAGATAAAATAACACCCATAAAAATTCATAGTTATGTTTAATGAAAATTTACATTTCTAAATTACATCACATTTAAAACTCTTTGTATCATAAAGACTCTAAATTACAAAATTGTGCCTTTATGTTTTACTAAGATGAATATCTGATCATGTCTAACTTCCTTTTTTTCATTAGATTTCAGGCAAACAATGAGCAAGAAATTTCCCTTCATCTTGGAAGGTATGTTTTCCTTAAGTAAAAAGGAGTACATAACAACTTTTTCAGGTAATCTGTAAATTCTGCAGTAAATTATGACTGAGGACTTAAATGGCTTTATTTTATCGTATTTCAGTTTCCAAAAAAACTATTCACCCCTATTTTAGCTCCTTCTGAGACCATAGTGGGGAAAATTCTTACTTAGTTATCTAGATGAGAGCTGAGTTAGATATGGGCAGATTCTTAGTACTTCCAGTGATTAAGAATGTAGAATGAGACCCATCTGGGTGAAGCAAACCACAACTTAAACCTCAGTTTTAAAAATTTGTTTTATCTCAAGTTTGCTATCTCTCAGAGCTGCTTCTGTCAAGTAATGTTAATCCTCAGGTGATTGTTACAAGGACAGAACAAGATTATGTTATAACACTTGATCAGTGCTCATTACGGTAATTAGTAGTTAGAACTTACACAGGTTACACAGTAGTTAGAACTTACATATTAACATATGTTAATATTATTGTTGTTTTCATTTAATTATTAGCAATATGGAAAAAAGATTATTTTTCTCAATGAAAGTTTAACATTTTATATGATTTTTATAAATGGCAGTTACTTTTATTTATAGTTTACTATAAAGCCATCGAACAGTCTGGAATGTATGAAATCAGAAGGCAAGATCAAGAGAAATGGATGAATAGCAAAAATTAAGAGTAAGTATAAGTAGAATTTTAAGTTATAATTTAATAATTCACTTCCTTTGCTTTTTAGTTTTATGAGTGGGTTTCTGCCTCTTCTTCTTGAAATTTTTCTTTTTCTTGATAATACTTTTCACATCTCTGTTATGTAGCCAGTCATCACGTTCAGCCTCCCATCTGAGCTGTTTGAGACCTTTGAGAGGAGAAGAAAGATGAATTTAATCCCAATATAGACTCTGAACTACCACAGAACATCCTACCAAGTAACAGGAACTTCAGGTCTGCTTTGGCCTGTGGCTTCCCACCCACTATGCAAACCCACTCCTTGTTCGTTGCTCTTCTGTTTTTATTGTCAAAGATTAATATTTTACAAATAAATGACTAAGGAAGGAAAAGGAAAAAATGTTCCGAAGATTTCATTTCCCTGGAACACTTTTAGTAAAGAATAGAAACAGTAACTATTAAGATTAGAAATGCTAGGCAAATGCTCTACCACTACCACTGAACTACAGCCCTAGACAAGGCTGTTTTTAAAAATTTCAATTAAAAAATTCAAGTTACTTACTTGCATTATCTTTATTAGCCATGGCATTTATGCCAATATTATCAAACTTGGATCCCACATTCTCATCCAACAGGTGGCCAAACTTAAAAAAAAAAAAAAAAAAAAGTTTATTAGAAAATGTAAAAAATGTAGAATAGCTAACTTCTAAAAACAGTATATTAGCCTTACCTCTTCAGCAGATACAAACAGGCTGGAGTCACTGAGGTTTCTTTTCTTTTTTTTTCTTGGTCCTAAAAAAACAGTGTCCAGTTATTCAATTCTAAATCCCATATATATATATATTTTTAAAAAATGTAAATCTTTCAACATGAGCTTATGTAAAAAATTATAGTTGAGTAAAGATATAATTGCAATTATCTTCTAGCACTGTTAGGAAGCAGATACTTGAATAAACATAATTTAAGAATTACTACATACAATTTTTAAGAAAGCTGATATTCTAATAGAATTTTTCAGATGACAATAGTATGTTCTTATTTTTCAGATCTGGCCACTGATCAGAATTTGCCCTTAAGCGAAATATTATCAACCCAGATTAAAATTCCAAGGTTGACATGGATGGGTTTTTGGAATATTTAAGGCAAATACAATTTAAAAAAATTTTTTTTTGTAGTTGTAAATGGACAGCATGCCTTTGTTTTTATTTATTTTTATGTGGTAATGAGGATTTTAAAAAATTTTTAAAAATTATAATTTAAAAATTCAGCTGCCTGAAGTAACATTAATTCAGTTTTTTAATAAACTTACAGAGTTGTTCAACCATGACCATAAGCCAATTTAGAACATTTCCATCAACTCCAAAAGATCCTTGGTGCCCATTTGCAGCCATGCTACCCCTATTTCCCTGGATTTACATTGTTTTTGATTTGCCTTTTCTAACTATTTCATATAAATGGAGTCATTTATATGGTTGCCTATATCTTCCTAGCTGGTATAATATTTTTGAGGCTCATCCATGTTATGTATCAGTACTTCATTCCATTGGCTGAATACATCCTAGTGTATGGATATATCACATTCTTTTTTATCCATTTATCAGTTAATGGACATTTGTTTTATGTTGATTTAGCATTAATGAATAAGGCTGGTACGATCAATCCTGTATAAGTCTTTGTGTTGACACATCAGAGCCACTTTAAAAAAAAATTTTTTTTTTAGTTATAGATGGACACGATATCTTTATTTATTTATTTTTTTATATGGTGCTGAGGATCAAACCCAGGGCCTCACCCATGTAAGGCAAGCGCTCCACCACTGACTGAGCATTTCTTCTTCATTTTTATTAAGGTGAAAAGTATATTACATAAGAATTGAGTAAATACTAGCATAGCAGTATCTGTGTGAACTCTATGAATAAGTATGTCTGTACCATTTTCTTAAAAGTTCCCTTAGGTTGTTTGGTCTTTTTTCTTTTTCCCTCTTTTTTTAATGGTACTAAGGCTTGAACCCAGGGCCTTGCACATGCCAGGGAAGCGCTCTATACCCCAGCCCTGAGGGACGAGCCTCAGGAAAACTGCATTTGAGCATATGCTCTTAATAAAATGTGATTTACTATCACTCAAGGGGAGTAAAAATCTGGAAAATAACTTATTATAATGTAAATTTTTATCAGTTAAATCATTTAAGTATTAGGGGATAATACCAGCAGTATTTTTAAGAGCTGATAAAAAAATTTTGTAGGCTTAAATATGAGACTACTACCAAAATGCAAATAGTTTCTTTAAAAATATTTAAATTGTTTTTATTTAACTTTGCAAATCTATTTTTTATTTTTATCAGTATCTTCCAGTAAGTACAAGCTAGAAAGACATTAGAAACAAAGCATTTAGTGCTTTCCATATTTTTATCAAAAACTTGGAAGTGTCACTTGACATAGAACTTTTTCTTTTATTTGTACTTTGCAAATGTTAATACTATAAAGCATAATCTTATGCAATATAAAGAATATTAGAGAATTAATCATAAAGGAGAATGTAATTAATGAAGGAGCATGAATTCTTTTTTCTTTTTTTAAAATATTTATTATTTTGTTTTAGTTGTAGGTGGACACCATAATATCTTTATTTCATTTTTATGTGGTGCTGAGGTTTGAACCCAGTGCCTCACATGTGCTAGGTGAGCATTCTACCACTGAACCACAACCACAGCCCCAAGGAGCATGAATTCTGACAAGGGTCAAATGGCAAAGAAAATATTTTGCTGAGGAAAGGAAAAAGCAACACTCTGAGAATCCAGGGCTTATATATGATGAAGTGCTTTAAACATGAATGAAAAGATGATCTAGATAGAGATATTTAAATGTGAGAAGAAGAAACTTAGGAAGATGAAAATGATTTAAGGTGAATGTCAACAATTTTCACATTAAAAGAAAAAACCCTATTACCAATTATAGAAACATCTTTAAGGAAAAAAATATCCTAAATCTTATTAACCAATAGAAAAGTTTATCTCCAAAAATGATAATGAATAATACTTTTCACATGGATAATGTTTCAGTTAAAAGATTAAATGCATTTTCTTACCTTGAAATGACCCAGCAAAGTCAAAATCGTCATCATCCTTTCTCTTGCTTCTCTTAGTATTGACTTTTGAGCTGTCTTCATCAGACTCTGTTACCCAAATAAATTTGTTATTAAGCCATTTCAAAACAAAAGAACTTCAAGTTATGTTAAAATCTTAGTCTGATGGCAAGGATTGAACCCAGGGCCTCGCATGTGCTAGGGGAGTGCTCTACCGCTGAGCCATAACCTCAGCCCGTTAATTATTATTCTAACATTAAAAAGATACAATATACACACTCAACTAGTATTGTATAGAGAGGCTAATTATTGATTAAAAGTCCCAAACTTGGGGCTTGGGATGTGGCTCAAGTGGAAGCGCGCTTGCCTAGCATGCGTGAGGCACTGGGTTCGATCCTCAGCACCACATTAAAAAATAAATAAATAAATAAAGATATTGTGTCCACCTAAAACTAAAAAATAAATATAAAAAAAAAAAAAAGTTCCAAACTCAAAACTCAACAAAAAAATACTGCCTTTAAACCTTTGGTTTGAAATAAGAAAAAGGTCCTCTTTAAAAATTCTAGTTTATTGTATTAATTTGAATACAGATTACATTAGAAATCTTTATTAGAAAAAGTAGCCAAGACTGAGAAAGGATTTTTTTTGTATTTGTATTTTATTAAAAACAAGAACAACAAAAACTCACCTGGAATGCTCTCATTTTCATCATCTAACACATCCATGAATGTTCCTCCATCTTCATCAATTTCAGCAAATTCTTCATCATTCATACTTCCCAAAGAAACTTCATCATCATCCAGGTTATCGAATTCATCATCGCTATCCTCTGAATCCTCATATTCCAAGTTATCCTTAGCTTTTTTTGTTTTTTTCTTCATATTGCTAGAAAAAAATCCCAAACTTATAATGTAATGAGGGTATTGTTTTCTAAAGTGTTTAGGGCCTAATATGGTACAAGGCTACTGAATGACTTAAAAGGAAAATTAAAGACTACTCAGAGTATACTAACATGTATTACAAATGTCCAAAATAAAAGTACTACACTCACTTCCCAAACTTAGTTGAATACAATTTCCCCATAACATCATATAGATCTAGGTCTGCTGCTGTGGGGGACAACAATTTGGGAAGTATTAGGAAACAGTAAAGAGAAGATTGAAGTAAAGTATTTTACCTGGCAAAATCAAGATCATCCTTTCCAGGGGTGAAACAGTTATCATCTTCAAATGTGTCTGTCAGAGAACAAGATTCAAATTGTGAAACACAGCAAAGAATAACAAGGTTGACATGTCTTATATCTGAATCAATTATAGTAGCAGAAATTATGGTTCTGTCGTTTATGACAAGCACCAAAATGACAGAAACATGATTACTATTGGTGTGTCTTAGAATGTATAAGTCTGTTAAAAGCTGATTTTAATGAAGTGTTTATACTAAAACGGGTTCTACTTCTTTTTACAGTTGCTTTATGGAGAAAAAAGTACATTAAATAAAATGACTTGTAGTAACTTCAGTTCTTTTTTACTTTATAAGAACTATTTAGCTGCTTATTTTTAGTAGATATAATGTAACAAAAGTGAAATCAATGTTAAGTCTTTCCAATTTTGCATGTATTTTGTTTTAGTCTGTTACATTTCAATTAAAATTTCAAGTGCTGTGGGAAGATAAAATAGATGAGACAGTAGACTAATTCTAGCAATAGTATTATGAGACTGTGAACAATAAATATGGTTCTTATTTGGCCTTAGGAATTATATACCATATAAATAGAAACTTTCTCACTTAGACTATTTTTTAGATTACATGTGGTTGAGTTACCATATACCATCAAAATATTTCTTAATCCTTCATTATGACTTACATGATATTCTTAGCTAAATGATTTTTTAAACACTAAGCTCACTTCTGCCACTAAGGTTCCATGTTCTAATAATAAATATTAATAGATCTAAATCTGAGATTCAATAAAAACAAATTACCAATCATCTTTTCAAATTCCTCATCATCCACATCTTCTATACTCTCTTCATCAGCACTCCGTTTTTGTTTCTCTTTAACAATAGCAATTTTTTTATAATACCTAAAACAAAAATGCATCTTATGTATTTATTAAAGGTCTGATCTTGATATAATCAAAACACTGAAGACAAACCACAATTATAATAAATTTTTTATGTATAGACTCAATTGGAGATGAGTGAAATTTGTCAATATACAAAAAATAATTCGATTTCAACAAAATAGATATAAACTTGAGAAATGCAGTGGAATAAATTTCAACAATCTTAGTTTCTTATAAACTATTTCTTA